TCTAGCTTCTACTTCTAACGAAAGAGGAGATAAAGGTGAATAAAGAGGAGATAAAGGTGAATAAAGAGGAGATAAAGGTGAATAATTAGGAGATAAAGGTGAATAAAGTAGAGATAAAGATTAATAAAGAGGAGATGAAGGTGAATAAAGAGGAGATAAAGGTGAATAAAGAGGAGATAAAGATTTATAAAGAGGAGATGAAGGTGAATAAAGAGGAGATAAAGATTAATAAAGAGAAGATGAAGGTTAATAAAGAGGAGATAAAGGCGAATAAAGAGGAGATAAAGGTGAATAAAGAGGAGATAAAGATTAATAAAGAGGAGATAAAGGTGAATAAAGAGGACATAAAGGTTAATAAAAAAGAGATGAAGGTGAATAAAGAGGAGATAAAGGTTAATAAAGAGGAGATAAAGGTGAATAAAGAGGATATAATGGTAAATAAAGAGGAGATAAAGATTAATAAAGAGGAGATGATGGTGAAAAAAATTGGATAAAGATGAAGTAAGAGGGAGCAATGGGATCGAATGGAGAGATATAAGAATAAAGAACGGGATTAAGCGGGAAAGGAAGATGTAGAAAATGGGAGATTTAGGAAAACTAAAGAGAATCTAGGAATAAATAATTAAAGGAAAAAAGCCGAGAGAGTTAGATTAGGATTAGAGTGGGGTGTTAGCATGAATAATAATAGGAGTATAGTTACTGGTTAGTATTGTATTCTTATATTAACATGATACTAATTCTATCAAAACCCAAACCGACAAACACACCTAGAATAATTAATCAGAGATCAAAACAAAAAATATCTTTAAATAAAGTTTGATTTAGATTTTTTCTCCCAGTAAAAGATTTTAATGAGATATAATTTTTTCTCAACATTTTCCTCAGATCTTAAAGATTAATTGTTTAATATTCTTATTAAACATTCAATAATATTTGTCTAGATCCGACCCATATCGACCAATTAAACGTACAATCTACGTACAAATGTTTAGAAAATTTATTTCAGGTGTTTTGAGAATAATATAAATAAATCTTGAAGTTCACACTGTTAATGGGGTTTAAAAGAGTGGCATAACCGATTCACAACTGTACCCTTACAAATTTTGTCTGATGTTAAGTATTTCAAGTTTTAAAAAAACAAGTTTATCTTCCAGTTCTGGGTGCAGTCCGGAGTGTAATCCTTATCTTCCAGTTATAGGAGCAGTTCGAAATGTAATCCTTATCTTCCAGTTCTAGGTGCAGTTCGGAGTGTAATCCTTATCTTCCAGTTCTAGGTGGAGTTCGGAGTGTAATCTTTATCTTCCAGTTCTAGGTCCAGTTCGGAGTATAATCCTTATCTTCCAGTTCTAGGTTCATTTCGGAGTGTAATCCTTATCTTCCAATTCTAGGTGCAGTTCTAACTGTAATCCTTTTCTTCCAGTTCTAGGTCCAGTTCGGAGTATAATCCTTATTTTCCAGTTCTAGGTACAGTTCGGAGTGTAATCCTTATCTTCAAGTTCTAGGTGCAGTTCGGAGTGTAATCCTTATCTTCCAGTTCTAGGTGGAGTTCGGAGTGTAATCTTTATCTTCCAGTTCTAGGTCCAGTTCGGAGTATAATCCTTATCTTCCAGTTCTAGGTCCAGTTCGAACTGTAATCCTTATCTTCCAGTTCTAGGTGCAGTTCGGAGTGTAATCCTTATTTTCCAGTTCTAGGTGCAGTTCGGAGTGTAATCCTTATCTTCCAGTTCTAGGTACAGTCCGAAGTGTAATCCTTATTTTCCAGTTCTAGGTGCAGTTCGGTGTGTAATCCTTATCTTCTAGTTCTAGGTGCAGTCCGGAGTGTAATCCTTATCTTCCAGTCCTAGGTGCAGTTCGGAGTGTAATCCTTATCTTCCAGTTCTAGGTGCAGTTCGGAGTGTAATCCTTATCTTTCAGTTCTAGGTGCAGTTAGGAGTGTAATCCTTATCTTCCAGTTCTAGGTGCAGTTCGGAGTGTAATCCTTATTTTCCAGTTCTAGGTCCAGTTCTGAGTGTAATTCTAATTCTAAAATCTGAACAAGTGAAAAGCCCAGACAAAAATACAAAATTTTAAATTATTTTGGATTTTCTAATAATCCTTTTAAAATTACATCGCGCGGTCTCAGATCATGAAGTTATTAAATCTTTAATTTAAAGAGTTTATTTTGTGAAGAATTGTACTTCCGTTCTTCAGCTTATCAAGAATTGATGAACTTCTAACACAATTAATTGTTAACTTTAAGTTCGGGTGTTATGTCCGGACTCCTCAGGGAATAGTTTTGTTCTTACACAATATAGACAAGTTCTTTTCAACACTTTACACATAGATTACATAGATAGGATAGCAGATGTCATCTGAGGCAGAATCCCAAAGGAGTTACGCATAGTCGGCGTAGAACAGGCTCCCTTTCTGTCCTGTAATTCTAAAGTAAAATATTATGAAATACGGATGTCTCCATTATCGATGATCAGGAAAAAGGTTGAAGAGTAATGTAGTGAATAGGACATGTCGTACTCTAGAAATTGAGAAAACACTTGAAACAACCCTTGAACCTTGAACGGCAATTTGTTCACAAATAAAATTGTTAAAATCCAATTTTAATTTACGTATTTGCAGGCAGTGGTTTAAAAAATATGGTTGAGGTCTGGATGAAAACAGATTTTACAGAAGATGGGTAAAATTATTATCTTAAATTTTATTTTAATTGATTTTTATACTTAAAATAATCATAACCTATATATAATCTACTAAATACGGAGCTCATTAAACGCGATCTGAGTTTTTATAATATTATATATGTTGTTTGTAAATTTAAAATACCCTAAAGTACATCGTATTGAAATAAATTAGGTCATTATTTGATCTCTCACTCAAACCGTCAAAATTACCGTAACAAACCAATTATACTTAAGCATTTAAAATACATAGCCAAACAAAAATTATAATAGAAAATACGAAAAATCTATATTTAATGGTTGAAAATGAGCTCTAACGTTATTTCAAGCCAGACTTTTAACCAGGACCTCTATAGCTTACCGTGAACGAGCAGAGTGGTTTCAACTAGATTAATGTAGCTAAACCAGTTCTCTTGTTCGCCAGTTCAAGTTGAAATGAAGTGGTTTAACTTAGTCTGCAAAGTTCTTCTCGCTATTCATAATTTTTGGTCCCCGATCAACTTATAATTTGATTTAACTAGTTTTAAAAATTTGTTAACATATCCTTTAAATCTGGTAGGCGATGTGTTGAGGCTGGAACACCGGTTCTTGTCCTAGGATATGGAGAGACTGGTAGCTCTAACTACCAGGTTCTAGATCAGGTTAGGATCAAACAAACCAACAAACTAAACTAACCTGGAGCTTCTACAGGATCGGATACTAGAGATTCCTAAAACCCTGTTTGGAGAATACAGGTTTCCATCTTGGTTCCGACCAGAGATAGATCGACTTGGAGCCGAGGTTCAACTCCGCAGGTTCAACTGTTCATCTCCATCTTATGCTTTTACCTTCTTTATTCTGCTGAACGTCTTCCATGATTAATTTTTCTTCCAACCATTTTTACCATTGATAACGGAGTCGAATAGATTGGTGTTATTTGATTCTACCCAGGGATCATTGTAAACCATCCCCTTACTCCTTTTTTTAGTCTACCCCATAGTTCTTGTTTTTTTTTATCTGGACTTCCCTCTTGTTCATTGTTTTATATATCTAAATCTATAACGGTCTCAGACCTTTTGTCTTCGACCTAATTGTAAAAAAAATCTTTACTAATTACAAATTTAAATGTCGAAATACATTATTATTATTCTCATTATTATTATAATTCTCATTATTATTATTATTCTCATTATTATTATAATTCTCATTATTATTATTATTCTCATTATTATTATTCTCATACAGACTACCCCCTCGTTCCTTTTTTATCCGACGCCGTGGTTCCGGAAGGAGAGAAATCAAGGATTTTTCTATTTCTATTAAAATGGCAGGAAAATGTTTACAGAGTTTTTTTTTCTAGTGAGCATCTTCTCTTTGTACAGTATAAATGTGTTTTTTAAATTGCGGATTTCTTAATATTTTTTCGCGCATTTTCAAAATTTTTACAAAATTAAATAATTTAAGATAAAAATATTTTAAGATTACATATTTAAAGTCTGATTGGCCATATACCTTTCTTGGGGCCACGTGAGGTCCCACACAAAATTTTGGCATGATCGTATCAGCCGTTTTGACGTTTATAGAATACAAACAAACAGACAAACAAGTGGTTGCACAACCAGTACACCTCGTACAACCAGTAAATCTTAAATAACCAGTACCATCTTGTACAACCAGTACATATTGTGCAAACGTACACCTTGTGTTAACAGTTAATATAGTACAAACAGTACATCAGGTACAAACAGTGCTAGTACAAACAGTACATATAATACGAACAATATACATCCAATACAAAGAGTACATCTAATATAAAGAGTACATCTTGCACAAATAGTACATCTTGTACAAACAGTACATCTTGTACAACCAGTACATCTTGTACAACCACTACATCTCGTACAACCAGTAAATCTTAAATAACCAGTACCATCTTGTACAACCAGTAAAAATTGTGCAAACGTTCACCTTGTGTTAACAGTAAACAGTACATACGGTACAAACAGTACATCTAGCACAAACAGTACATGTAATACAAACAGTACACATCCAATACAAAGAGTACATCTAATACAAAAAGTACATCTTGTACAAATAGTACATCTTTTAAAAACAGTACATCTTTTACAAACAGGGATTAGGAATAAAGGGAAAGGAAATGGCGCTGGTCTGGCATGAGAAAGCCAGTCGCACTGCTTTGCAGACCAGTACGATAACCTTACACACACTCTTCTGGTACAGACACACAACATGACTACAGTCAAGGAAATTGCAGAACAATGTTTTCAATTATAATTAAGTTTGAATAACGACTATATTTATTGTAAACTTTAATCAAGTTATATTCTTTGCATGAAAATTTGGCTTATAGTGTTGACTTAAATATATTAAATAATATACTACATGTATATCCAACTTATTTTTAAGTAAACAATTAACAATAAACAAATGTACTCTCCTAGACTGTACAAATACCAAGATTCGTATGTACTGTATGTACCTACAGTACACACCTTTGGTACGGTAACCTTACACACAGTCTTTTGGTACAGACACACACACACATGACGTTTCAGCCCCCTGTTTACAAACAGTACATCGTGTGCAAACAGTACACTATAGTGTAAACAGGAAATATAGTGCAAACAGTACATCTAATACACACAGTACATCTCGCACAACCAGTATATCTAGTACAAATATTTGATCTAGTAATGTCCAAAATATGTCCAGAGCATATTTAAAGAAATAAAATTGCCGCAAATTACAAATTACCCAGCGACAATCATAATAAAGAGAAAAAGAAAAGGCGACAGTTGTTCCTCTGATTTCTAATTAACACTGAACCAGTAAATACATAAACTACATCCAGGGACCAGAATTAATGAATACCAAGAAGTAAGTTAAACCACGTACCACCGGTTCAACCAGTTCTCTTGTGCGCCGGTTCAACTACCGTTAGCTTATTAACTAAACCTGGTCCCAGTACATCAAGTAAACCAGATAAACTATAAAAGACCGAGTACTCCATATGAAGATAAACTACTCGGAAAACCAGAATTGGAATTTCAACTCCCAGAATTTCTCAAGTCTCCAGGTACAATTCTACTTTTCTTTTTTGTAGCTTTTAAATCAAAGGGTCATTTAAAGAGACCTTTCATTTGAAGAGCTAGGGACATCCCCAATTCACAATAGTACCCTTTAAGCATTTCACTTACCATCGAGAACAGAGATCTCACCGTATATTGACCGTATATAGCTCCAAAATATTGTGTAAAAGGCCGTACATCCCAAAGACTTTGCTAATTTCTGGACCCCTCTCTTCTTCATCGCCTAAAATTCCGTTCCATAGTACCTCATAAAAATATTTGACGACATCTGAAAATTTTCACCAACAATTGGCTATTTTTAATACAAAAGAGATGCGTAACTTTATCACAAATTCAGCTATAATTCACCAGACGATCCTCATATTCAACAAATGATTGAAAAATTTTAAAATACAAGTTAATATCATTTATTTTAGTCTACTTTCAGCACAAAACATTCACAATTGAGTTAAATATCTAAGGTTTTAATGTCGATCGTTAGACTCTCAAACAACCAGAATAACCAATGACGTCAAAATACAGCTGTACAGGCGTACACAATAGTCGGATAAATTTCCAACGCCTCGTCTTTATAATTAGCAAAGTCTTTGATATGAATATTAGCCAACAAAGTGTTAAACAATTACAATCGTTTCTGTTCTTTCTGTAGATAATCTAAGGATAAGTCTGTCAGCCTTGATCAGTCAAAAGTTTAAGGGTACTGTTGTAATCGGGGCTGCCCGTTTTTAAATAAACTTGAAATTACGCTTGCAGTCCCTTTACAAACATTGCAGACGTAACTTCAAGTGACTTTCGGCTACAGTAAAACAAATATCTACGTCATCCTTGATTAGACAAGCTTTAAAGGGTTTATATAACGTTGTCAATCTGATATTTACAAATAAAAGGTCACTTGTTTACAGTTCCTTAAATTATTGCAAATTATGTCAGACAAAAAAGGATCTACTGTTGTTCATCTTGTGTCCTCTAAAGGTCTACTGTTGTTCATCTTGTGTCCTCTGAAAGTCTACTGTTGTTCATCTTGTGTCTTCTGAAAGTCTACTGCTGTTCATATTGTGTCCTCTGAAAGTCTACTGTTGTTTATTTTGTGTTCTCTGAAAGTCTACTGCTGTTCATCTTGTATCCTCTGAAAGTCTACTGCTGTTCATCTTGTGTCCTCTGAAAGTCTACTATTGTTTATTTTGTGTCCTCTGAAAGTCTATTGTTGTTCATCTTGTGTCCTCTGAAAGTCTACTACTGTTCATCTTGTGTCCTCTGTAAGTCTACTGTTGTTCATCTTGTGTCCTCTGAAAGTCTACTGTTGTTCATCTTGTGTCCTCTGAAAGTCTACTGTTGTTCATCTTGTGTCCTCTGAAAGTCTACTGTTGTTCATCTTGTATCCTCTGAAATTCATGGCTTACAAATATGTTTAAAACTTATTTCAACTGTTCTCCATTTTTTTTCAATCTTCATGACAGAATAAAATCCCAAGAACTAAAGAAAGTCAATCTAAACCAAAATTTGTTCTTCATGCAAACATGGCTATGAGCCTATGCCCGATTTACAACAGTACTCTTGAAAGCTTTGTCTAATCAAGTATTAATTAGATATCAATATTTTTGTTTCTTTAAACTGTTTATTTTCATTGCGGTTTCTCTGCAACAGTGATTTGCGCAATCCTTGTTTATAAGAAGCAGTGGAGAACCTCACAGAAATAAACACTCTTTGAGACAGAAAAACGACGGTATCTTCCACAATTTTGATCCGATTAAGGATTTAATTGTGCCATTGTAATGCCATCTTAGCATGGAGGGGGACAGGAAATTACGCTCACTGTCCCTTTCAAAGTCCCACAATACTATATTTAGGCCCTGGTGAAAACATTTCAATCCAAGCCTCTGTTTATCTCCAATGGTCAAGGAATAAGCCTGGATAATGAAGCTGATACTTCAATTGATAAAACTATTGAAACCGCCAATATAAACGAAGGTTTAAAACAATATTAACAATATTCAAGTTTTTAAGAAGAATGAAGATAAAATCTATTTTTTACTCTAGACGATATTTATGAAGATCCAACTCAACCAGATCCTCTACAATTCATTCCTCAAGTGTCTCAGGTTCGTCTCTGGATTACCATACTTGTAAACAAAGTAAAAATATGAACAAACTGAAAACTTTTTGGATATACTTGTAAATATATGATATAAATATATCACGTCAAACTAAAGTTAATTGAATGTAAATATATCACGTCAAATTAAAGTAAATTGAATGTAAATATATCACGTCAAACTAAAGTGAATTGAATGTAAATATATCACGTCAATCTTAAGTAAATTGAATGTAAATATATTACGTCAAACTGAAGTAGATTGAATATAAATATATCACGTCAAACTAAAGTAAATTAAATGTAAATATATCACGTCAAATTAAAGTAAACTGAATGTAAATATATCACGTCAAACTAAAGTAAACTGAATGTAAATATATCACGTCAAACTAAAGTAAATTAAATGTGAATATATTACGTCAAACTAAAGTAAAATTAATGTAAATATATCACGCCAAACTAAAGTAAATTGAATATAAATATATCACGTCAAACTAAAGTAAATTGAATATAAATATATCACGTCAAACTAAAGTAAATTAAATGTAAATATATCACGTCAAATTAAAGTAAACTGAATGTAAATATATCACGTCAAACTAAAGTAAACTGAATGTAAATATATCACGCCAAACTAAAGTTAACTGAATGTAAGATTGAAACCTTACACGGGTTTCGATTATAGATCCATTTGTGGAAGAGCTGTTAAGAAGAACAATAATGGAATTGAGTCTTTGACACAAACAGAATTCATAGTTTGAAATATCTAAAGCCTACGACATTAGGTTGCAAACATAAAGGGATTAGAAAATCAGAGGTTGTAGCAAAGACTCAATTCCTTTGTATTTGTCAGACTAGCGCGTAAAATTAAAACTAGAGATGCTATCAGGTCACAAGGCGTACCAGTAATAAATATCGCATAGATTTTACCTACTCCCTCTGTGTGATATATATATATATATATATGTACAATGTACGTAAGGGTAAAGTGCAAATGGAATAAAACACGAGCATTATATGGTGTTTTTTTTTAATTTAAAACTTTTAAAACGATAGAAAACAGTTTTAAACTTGTTTTTGCCCTGATCTAAATCAACCATTAAAAGGTTCAGCACGAATATAATTTTTCAGGCAATATTTTGTAAGATATATAAGAGCTGCCTCCTATAGTTTATATTTTATATCCTTTAGATTGTCAGAGTTAAATATGATTTTCAATCCACAGTAGAGGGAACCATTGAGGAAAGAAATAAATTCCGTCACTTTATTTCCCAACTTTCAGAATTCCGTCACTTTATTACCCAACTTTCAGAATTCCGTCACTTTATTACCCAACTTTCAGAATTCTGTCAATTTATTACCCAACTTTCATAATTCTGTCACTTAATCACCCAACTTTCATAATTCCGTCACTTTATTACCCAACTTTCATAATTCTGTCACTTAATTACCCAACTTTCATAATTCCGTCACTTAATTACCCAACTTTCATAATTCCGTCACTTTATTACCCAACTTTAATAACTCTGTCACTTAATTACCCAACTTTAATAATTTTGTCACTTAATTACCCAACTTTCAGAATTCCGTTCAATATTGGAAATTTAAACCTAGTTCAGCAGGTTCAGTTTGGAGAAAGGTTAAAGATAATTGATGTTTATGAAGAGGAGGTAAACACTCTTTTTGCTATTTTCAAGATAGTTTATAACAGGATCAGGATACTGTATATAATCTGTAATCCCTACAGGGTTGGATCAGGATACTGTATATAATCTATAATTCCTACAGGGTTGGATCAGGATACTGTATATAATCTATAATCCCAACAGGGTTGGATCAGGATACTGTATATAATCTATAGTCCCAACAGAATTGGATCAGGATACTGTATATAATCTGTAATCCCTACAGGGTTGGATCAGGGTCCGGAAGCAAGGTGGAGATGAAGGTTGTGTTCCTACAAACTATGTGGATATTGAACAATTGTTTGGAAGAGATTTTTAAAAATAAATATAAATGTTTTATTGAAGTGTGATAGTTAATTATCACACTAATATTTTAGAATTATGCACCTTTTCGTTTATGTTTGTTTGAATGTAATATTGTACCGAAAAATGTGACGGGGTCAGAAAGTATAAATGTTTTTAAATTTCTAATTACAGTTTCAGACAAAAGAAAACTGCGTATTTTATAGTCTCTCTTTAGAATTCTTTAAACCAATATTTCATCAATAATCTAAATTAGCTCCGCTTGATTGAGCTATGTAGGTTTCAGGTTTTACGTCCAAGCTTCATGTTCCAGGTTCCAAGTTCTAGGTTCCATGTTTCTTATTCCAGATTCCAAGATTCAGTATTAAGGTTTTAAGTTTCAAGGTTCCTGGTTTTAGGTTCCAAGCTCAGGTACTTAGGCTCCAGGCTTTCAAGTTCCAAGTTCTATGTTCCAGGTTTCAGGTTCCCAGGTTCCTGGTTTCAGGTCCCACGTTTCAGATTTAAGGTTCAAGGTTCTAGGTTCCAGGTTACAGGATACAGGTTCCACGTTCCAGGTTCCAGGTTTCACTTTTTAGTTTTCAGGTTTGAGATATCAGATTTCAAGTTTCAGGTTGTAGGTTCCAGGTTAAAGGTTCCATGCAGATTTGAAGCCTACTCCTGGTTCTCCAAACAGGAGAGAGTGCACGGAACTAACTGTAAGATTAAAATCTCATAAAAAGATTTATCATTAATTCAGCTTCAAAATATGTTTAATTACAAGGAGGGGTGTGGGGGGGGGGTCATCAATAGAAAAATCAGGGCTTTTATAGAAAGTCCGTTTGTCGGAAATAAAGACTCTTTTACCTAAAAAGAATTTAAATAATTTCACTCTGTTCAAAATCTGATTTTTACATATGTACAATATTTTTCATTTAGAATTAATAATTTCTGGTTTAAAGCATCAAATGAAAATGTTTCTTACTGTATTCTACTTTCCGTTAGAAACAGTGTAATGTTATTTAGAAATTCTGATGTAATGAATCCTATGGTACAATTACTTATTTTCTATTCATGAAATTAGTTTAAATCTGGTTTAGAAATATATTTGGACAGCAAACCCCTAGTATCCGTTCTCTGTTCAAGTTTAGGATGTGAAAATATCAAAACTTGAAATATTTAGCTCAGCAATGAACCAACAATAGGTAAACGGAAGGCTGCCAAACTGAACTAAATTTAACTGAATTTATTGACGCAAAAACCCCCGGTTCCACAACTTACCCTTGCCACTAGTTGACACACAGTGTTGTGATCTAGGATTGGAAACTAATCTGATTATTTTCAGAAAGGAAATACTTGTTGGGTAAATTTACCTAAGTTGATGTGTGAGTTCGATGTTTGTAGTGAGGAGTAGGGTGGAGATGGAGTATGGTTTAGGAGGAGTAGGGTTGAAGAGGAGTAGTGTTCAGGAGGAATAGGGTTGAGGAGGAGTAGGGTTGAAGAGGGGTAATGTTCAGGAGAATAAGGGTTGAGGAGGGGTATGGTTAAGGAGAAGTAGGGTTGTTGATAATTAGGGTTACGGAGAAGTAGGGTTGAAGAGAATCAGGATTGAGGTGGAGTAGGGTTGAGAAGGGGTAGGGTTGAGGAGAAATAAGGTTGAGGTGGATTAGGGTTGCGGAGGAGCAGGGCTGAGAAGAAGTAAGGTTGAGGAGGAATAAAAAGAATGAAAAGGAAGATAATATTTGTAAGGGTGTATGATGAATGTATGAAAATATTAAAACTACTAAATGATTAATATGAAAAGATGATAAATAAAATGACAGGATGAATAATGAAGAAGTGGTTGAATAATGATCAAGTGAAGAAGGATCCTTGAGTTGCCTGTGTGTGCTGTACACTGTATACGGATAAAAGTTTCTCTGTGGTTTGTCTAGTATCTCCAAATACAGACTAAGAGCTACAAATCAGCACAGGGTGTGTCCTAAACCTACTAATATTCATCATAATTCTTCTTACACCCTGTAATCTTCTGGTATTACATACATTTATAAATCTAATGGACCTGTGAGAGACTATACTAGTTTTTATCCGCTAGATATGTACTCTTCACACCAATATTTTATAGACAATAAAACAAATAGCTGCAGATATGATTGCTTAAAACTTGATTGCAAGAAAGCTGGTTACTAAAAAACTGGTACTAAATGATTAAATTACATCACGTGCTTTTTAAAACATATTTTTTCTTTGCATTTCATATTATTATTTTGATTGTTAGCAAGTTAAACTATGGTTTTCAAGGGGTTTTCAGGCCCTGACGGGTGCCGAGCAACCCCTGGGAAAGAAAAAATTCATATTCCTGAATGCACTCCTGATAAATAATGATTTTCAAGTCACTTAGTTTCTAGCATTCATGTTTCAAGTAACTGTAGCAACAAATAAAGAAAAGCAACCTTTATCTCTATTTAATTATGTTCATAATTCAACAAAAGACAAATTAATCTTGAAGCGGGGAAAATAAATAACAGAGCTTGTAATTGAGAGATTTTTTATGCCATATTGATATAATTAGAGTATATAAACCAAACTAATCTAGTCCGTAGATGTACAATTTATTTAGACACATAACATAAAGCATGTACGTATCTTTGACCTCTCCTTTCAGGGACTGTTCACAAAATAAACTGTGTCAGGATTTCAATGTTCGAAAAATAAAATTAAGGCTCGTTTTAATTTAATATGTTCTGCGACTGAATACAATAATTTTGAACTGCCTCCTCCGGTTAAAATTTGAATCACCGATATAAATCCTTCCTTAATTTTTAACCTTGAATTGATGGTTTAAATTTGAACCGTCAGTAGGTAGTTCTGCGACGAAGCTCAAATTCATTCAATTCAGTCCCTGGTGTGAAATTGGGAATCTTGTTAAAAAAAGTCTAAAAGTTGTATTGTGATCTGGTTATTAAGATTTGATAAGTAGAAAATCGGAAGGAAGTTTACAAAAAGCCTCAAAGCTTGCAAAACTTGCAGACTATAGAGGACGTGAGTCAAACTCGAATGAAACGCATAAAGTAACTTCCACTTCTTATAACTTATTACTAGAGGGTTCAGAACTTGAGTAATTATCGATATCACACGTGTGTTTCAGTAACATGCCCCGTATCCGTTCTATCTCATTCCGTTGAATCTTGTGGGATTTGTTTAATGCGGCCAGGCATCGTCTTCCACAAGACCTTAATTTTTGGAAATTGTGGAATTCGGGTTAAAAAAAATATATTTTTGAATGCCAAACATAAAAACAGTGATTATTCTAACGTCGTTTAGCACATTAGTACTTTAGTACATTAGTACATTAGATAGTACACTAGTACACTAGAATATTAGTACTTTAGTACGTTGGTACATTGGTACATTGGTAAATTGGTACATTGGTACATTAGTACATTGTACTGTATATTCGTACAGTAGTACATTAGTACACAAACAAAAATAAGTAATTCGCAAAGAAACTGAACTGAGCTTTAATTTTCTAATCTCTTAATCTTTGCAACATTACAATGTAAACATTTGATATTTAAAGCTTGTACAATTTGAGCTGACAGAATTCATTATATAAAGTTATAAAGGTCTACGATATAGATAGACATATAAATTTAGAGTTTGTTTTGTTCTTTTAATGTATATTGTTCGCAATATGTATTTTATAAGACCTAATTGATGAACAGTGAACACATTCGCATTGTATCTGTTCTATCTCTTGGCAATACACAGTTCATTAAACCAACATTTTTCTTATTAATTTATCAATTAATTTTAGAATTAAAGTATTTGGTATTTATTGCCAGAAATATAGGTTACCCACATTCCATAAGAGGGGTCCATAGAGAAGACGAAAACTCCCTGTCAACAATGACATGAGAATGTAAATGTGTTTGTAACATATATTTGTATATGTTATGAATGTATGTAATTACAGTATGAGTCTTGAAAATGAAGATAAGTAGATTTTCATTTAGTTTTAATTTGGATACCAAGCCCTCTTTCATTTCTAACTACATAAATATATATATAGCTTGTCTGTCTGTTTGTTTGTTTGTCTCTGTCCAATAAAAGTCGAAACGGCTGAACTGATTTTTGTTGGACTTCTCATAGCCGGTCATAATTTTTCAAAGTTCAGTGTTTTGATGGTCGAAAAAGAAAAACTTTTCAAAAATTCAGCTTTAAAAAACTAGTATTGTTAAGGTCGGAAATTGGTTCAAACCTTTGAAAGCCCAGAAATTCCGTATTATTATACAATAAGATGGGTTTCCGAGCTGTAAGTTTTCAGTTGGGTAGAATTAAACAAAACTTCAAAGATTTGACCAAGATTTGAATCAGTTAATCTATCACAGAGAAAGAGTTTAACTTTTTCCGTCCGATTAAAAGTTTCGAGCTCCAATAAATTAATTGAGTCTATGCCACAAACTCTGATTTTCTAATCCCCGTATCTATGCAGCCCAAGGTCACCTTAAATATTTCAAACTATGAATTTTGTTAGCTCAAATAATGTAAGGTTGAAATATGAAAGGTTTACAACATTAGGTTGCAAAAATATAGAAATTAGAAAATTTAGGTTTGTGGCAAAAGAAATAACTGTTTCGATAGTAAAGAATGCAATAATTTCAATAGTTTTTAATTTTTACTTTGTATCGTTGATAAGTAGATACACAACAGGTGTTTCAGGAACCTTCTCCTTCCTATTACAAAATAAAATCCTTTAATCCTTGGATCCTCCTGGATGAAATTCCATCTCTATCCACATCTGTGCCGAGTAACATAACTTTATAAAAGACTTTCCCGTTTATCCTAGTTCCAGTCACAGAATCATTCTCTTCTTTTGTTCTCTAGCTTCTACTTCCAGAATTTTAAAAATAATTTCTCCGCTGCAATATCTTGATGAGGAGAAGGATGAAAACCTGGAGATCTATCCTGGTCTTAATATCAACACTGGAATTATCTTTAGGTTAGATTCTTTGCAGATTCCTCATGAAATGTTTACTGCAAAAGGATATTTACTATTTATCTATCTTAACCTAACGTTAAATAGTTTATACTCATAGGAGTTGCCCTTTTTTCCAGAAAAAAAAATATTTTTCATATTTTTTTTAATCATTATTCAACGTATCAAACGCTTTGTTTAGGAGGACTTGATGATTTCGGAGGAGATTACGGAGAATATATGAACCTCTTGAAAGGGAATTCAATGTTGGAAGATTTTGGAACTCCCGGCGTGGGAGGAGGGACGGATGATATTGAAAAAGGACAGGTCGTCATTGATTGTTAAATAATATATAGATAAGTATAACTTGATTAAATAGCATTTTCACATGTTTTACTACATAATGTTTCCTGTTTTTAACAATCCGAAAAATAATAAGTATTGATAAATTAAATAAACTTTTTAAATAAATGAAAAAATAGAAAAATATTTGTCAGCTAAAAGAATAGACAAAGAGAAACTTTAATTTTTGCAAAATACATTTCTTGACAAACAAGAATGCACAATGTTAAATTTATTTTTTAATGTGGATTCTTAGGGTCGGCAGGAATCTGTTATGGGTGGAGGAGAGTTCTGGGCCGGAGCTGGATCTATGGATCCATCAGGATCAAAACTTACAAGAAAAGAACCAGAATTTTCTGGTTACGGGAGAGGTTTAAAGAGTAAAGAGAAAGGAGATGTTCATATTCACTTCGACGTTAACGTTCTTGTAAACGAAGCCGGGAAACCAAAGATTGATCCTGTTGTCCGGGTTTATAAAGACAAGAAGAATAAGTTTGAGGGACTGCTTGGGGAGCAAGAACGGACTAGACAGGTTTCCGGCTCCGGAGACGGAAAACAACCGGAGATGTTTGACTGGAAGAAAATGCAGGGTCAGGCCTGGCCTGGAGCAGGAACTGGAGCTGGAGCAGCTGGAACAGATGGAGGGAGCACTACTGGTTGGGGAGGCAAGGATGGAGGTGGAGGAGGACAGAGTGGAGGACAGGACTCAGGACAAAGCTCTTATCCTCCCCCTCCTTCTCCTCAGGCTCCGGCACCGGCTCCAGCTCCTAACGGAGGTAAGAAAACTTTAATTATAAATATAAAAATAAAACAAATAGTTTTCACACCAAACAATTGTTTTCCTTAGATTCTCGACAAGGTAGAGAGGTGGGAAAGGAATCCCTTTCTAAGCAAATGGTTGTAATCCTGAACCCAGAGCTAGAAGTTTTCCATTCTATTTCAAACAAACTAGACAAGGTAAAATGTACTCTCTAATTTGAAAAAAAATGTTTTAACCTATAAATTATTTTTTAAATTTTATCCGGATCTAAAAATTTTCTAAATTCGTTAAAATTAAAAACAATTACTTTATAGGCTGTTGATTCCAAGAATAGGAGCGCTGTAGAGAATATTCTAGAATACCTGGATAAAATGGGAGAAAAACAAGCTTCAGAGAAGCCTGATAAATACGGAGCTCTGACCCGGAGGGAGGTTGAGGAGGAGGAGGAGGAGAAGAACCGGGTTCGAGAGTGCGGAGAAGTTATTTTGCAGGATCTAACCGACCAAGATCCATGGGTAGGTTTATTCTTATTTTTAACTAATTCTTAAAGAGACTGTATAATGTCAAGTGACCTTTTAATCATAAAGTGGCATTTTCAATTCATAATGGAACCCTTTAAAATAAAAACAATATCTTGATTATTGTTAAAAGTTTAAAGTGTACCATTGTATATAGGGGCTCCTTTAAACTATGTCTATTGTTCCGTACAGATTTAGACTTTAATGACATGGAATCACGATCTTGATTTTTTATTTCCAAAATGGTGGAAATATTTGGACCTTTTTTGTTTATGTTACATATTGAAACATGGAATTACGTTTTTATATATCCGTTTATGCAAAAAAAAATCCGACCACCTTTTGGAAATCCCAGACGAAACTGGTCATACTTGCTGTTTTGGAACTTTCAAACACTGTCAATCAAACTTTATTCTTATTATTCAGGTTACAACTAAAGGTTTAGGGGCAAAGATGCAGAGTTTAAGTTTAACAGGAACTTCAGAGCTATCCATGTGCAGCACAACACACAAGGGTTTTAATATTTGCTCCGAGTACTTGAATGCAACCTTAGCGATGAACTCAGGAACAAATATGCCTTTCAGGTTTGAAACCCTATATTTCTCTCTCTATTTTGAAATTAAAAGAAATTTTATATGACTGACAATTGCAGGGGAATGGTTACTGCTTCATTTCTCAAACCTTCCATAAATGTTAGGTAAAAAAATATGAATCTCCGCTGGTCTATGTAATGTTAAAGGGACTGCTAGCGTAGTTTCATGAGACCCTCCTTGCGGAGGTTGCAATGCCTGATTATGGTACCATTGAAACCTTAATCTGATCAATGATTTTGAAGATATTGTCGTTTTTCTAGGTTTAAAAGTGTTTAATTTTAATAATTCCTTTTTTTTTCTGCAGCAGAAATTCGCAATTCAGTTTTGTAGAGAACTCACAATTAAAAACAATTCGTTTTAAAAATCATAAACATTGATTGATATCTAATTCATTCTTGATCAAGCAAAGCTTCTAAGGATACCATTGTAACTCGGGAATTGTCATCTTAGTATGAATTGTCACTTGAAATTATTTACAATTACTGTAACTATTAGTAGCCATATAAGGTCAGATAGAACACAGATCTAAATACCTTGATAAAACTGAAGTAATTGTTCAGGGAGCAGATTTAACGAATAGCAAGAATTAGTTGAACCATGCACTTAGACTTAGTTGAACTACTTGTTTTGTGCGTCGGAATCAAGCTGAGAGAAATGGTTCCACTCAGTTTATGTGGTTTAAAGGGAGTGTTCACGAAAAAGGGTGATGGGTAATAGGTGATATCGAATTGAAAGGGGGTATAGGCTGATGTCGAATTGAATTCGCAAACACGCCCTTTAACCACGATATTCATTAAATCTGTCCCCAGGAATGATATCTTTCGTTTAAAAATATTGTAACTTCTTTCCTAGTTTCAGTATAATGTCCTGTTATTAAGAGTATCTATGACTGAGGATGGATGTAAGATATCATCCTTGAAGCTGGAGTCGGAGAGTGTTTCCTTTGCTCCGTCCTATGATTCATCCGTTCCCATCAATCCTTGGAGCCAGGTAACAGGGGAGGGGACATAAATGCGCACAGTTGTATACATTGTTATTTTTCAACAGACGTTATAAATAAAGTTGAAAGGGGATGTATTCGTAATTTCAAATGACCCCCCATATAAAGAGTGGCATGTTCGATTTAAATGGTACCCATAAGACTTTACCTGGAGAGGAATAATTTAGATATCCGAAAAATTGGTTATTTTCACTCTTGGTTTCTCCGTGAAAGAAACTTGCGGATAGTTTGCTGAGGAAATAATTGAGGAAATTGCAAGAATTAAAACTTTTTATGCTAGAAAAATGAGTATATTTTCCACCTCATTGATCGGATATGATTATGTGTACAGTCCCTTTAATATTCCAGGTCAGTTTGAGCGGATATCTTGTATCTAGAGTTAAGAAAATCATGGTTCCTCAGTTAGAACGCTCTCTACTAGCAGAGTTCAAAGAGATAAATTGATCCACCTGAACCTAGTCCTCCTACTTAATAGTTTAATTCAATTTTCCTTTGTTATTCTAAATCCATAAAATAACCATGTTTTCTCAATGTTTCAATAAAATTGATAAAATTTCTAGTAATAATTTCAATAAACTTTTTAAATGTAAAGTAGAGACATGTCTGATTCTAAAACCTACCTTGTTGAACCCTACCTTATTGAAAACTACCTTGCTGAAACCTACCTTATTGAAGACTACCTTGTTGAACCCTACCTTATTGAAACCTACCTTGCTAAAACCTACCTTGTTGAAACCTACATTGTTGAAACCTACCTTGTTGAAACCTATCTTGTTGAAACCTACCTTGTTGAACCCTACCTTGTTGAAACCTACCTTGTTGAACCCTACATTCCTGAAACCTACCTTGTTGAAGACTACCTTATGAAACCCTACTTTATCGAAAACTACCTTGCTAAAACCTACCTTGTTGAAACCTACCTTGTTGAAGACTACCTTATTGAACCCTACTTTATTGAAAACTACCTTGCTAAAACCTACCTTGTTGAAACCTACCTTGTTGAAACCTACATTGTTGAAACCTATCTTGTTGAAACCTACCTTGTTGAAACCTACCTTGTTGAAACCTACCTTGTTGAAACCTACATTGTTGAAACCTACCTTGTTGAAACCTACCTTGCTGAAACCTACTTTGCTGAAACCTACCTTGTTGAAACCTACATTGTTGAAACCTATCTTGTTGAAACCTACCTTGCTGAAACCTACCTTGTTGAAACCTACCTTGTTGAAACCTACATTGTTGAAACCTACCTTGTTGAAACCTACCTTGCTGAAACCTACCTTGTTAAAACTTACCTTGTTGAAACCTATCTTGTTTAAACCTACCTTGTTCAAACCTACCTTGGAAACCAATCTTGTTGAAACCTGCTTTGTTGAAACCTACCTTGTTGAAACCCACCTTGTTGAAACCTACTTTCTTGAAACCTACCTTGTTGAAACCTACCTTGTTGAAACCGACCTTGTTTAAACCTATCTTGTTGAAACCTACCTAGCTGAAACCTATCTTGATGAAACCTACCTTGTTGAAACCTACCTTGTTAAAACCTATCTTGTTGAAACCTGCCTTGTTGAAACCTACCTTGTTGAAACCTACCTTGCTCAAACCTATCTTGTTGAAACATATCTTGATGAAACCTACCTTGTTAAACCCTGCCTTGCTGAAACCTACCTTGTTAAAATCAACCTTGTTGAAACCAACCTTGTTGAAACCTACCTTGTTGAAACCTATCTTGCTGAAACCTACCTTGTTGAAGCCTACCTTGTTAAAACCAACCTTGTTGAAACCAACCTAACACATTGGTTTCTTCTTAAACTTCAAACCATACTTTGGAACTTTTTCATATGCTTTTATTATTATTTAATCTAATTTTTATCAAGTAAAAGCATAAAAATGTTTATACGTAAAGGTCATCCAGGTCTTCGTAATAGTAATCATCATCCGGCTGCTGAACAGGTTCAGTTACAGCACTAAACATGAAATATAGATAATCTCAGGCCGCGGCATTAACAAAAAAAAATCTCTCTTTAGTTTTGCAGCCTCTTCAGAATGATATTAGGTACCTTCCCAAAGGATGTTTCCCAAGCGGCAACTTCCCAAGGGTACTTCTCCAAGTGGCAACTTCCCAACTGAGCAATTTCCCAAGCGGCAACTTTCCAAGTCTGTCCTAGTCCCAGCGCTCGGCCTCCTAACATGTTCTAGCTGAAGCGCTCGCCCCCCTAGCTCATTCTATCCGCAGTGCTTGGCCCCCTAGCCCATCCTAGCCGCAGTGCCCGGCCCCTCATTGCAGCCTACCTTTGGGAAGTTGCCGTATGGGAAATTGCAAAGGAATTGAGTCTTTGCCACAAACTCTACTTTTCTAAACCGTTTATCTTTGAATTCCATTTTCGTAGACCTTAGATATTTCAAACTATGAAATCTGTTAGATCAAATGATATAAGTTTGAAATATCAAAGATGTACGACATTGGGTTCCAAAGACATAGAGATTATAAATTCAGAGTTTGTGGCAAAGACTCAATTCCTTTGGTAAGTTGCCACTTGGGAAATTGTCACTTTGGAAGTCACCCTTGGCAAAATGCATTTGGGAAAATATACCTAACACCTTCAGAATATTGTGCAGTTAAATATTAAAAGTGAATAATTTTAGAAAGTTATGAAATCAACAAAACATGGAAAAGAACTGATAACTCTCCTCATACTTTCTACAGTGGTTGGCGATTATATTAATACAATTAAGACGACCTTTTTTATTAGTTTTAATTGTTTACAAAACTTTTTCGAATTTCAAGTTTACAAGTAATCAAAGGAAAGCTTTTTGATGTGTATCCATGCTGTTTTACAGCTGCCACTGTATATCTTTGCAAACTGATGTTGCAGACCTTTGAGATTTTAAACTATAAACTCTGCTAAACAAATAGTCAAAGTTTGAAATACCAAAGGTTAAAACAATATGGTTTTAACGATATAGTTGAGTCCAGTTCTTTAGCAAAATAATTATTTGTGTTTGTGTACTGGCACACAAGTTTCTAGTAAATAAACACAAAACAGCTGTTATAAATAAACGACGCGAAGCATCATGGAAGCCTGAATTTGAATTTCTATGCTTATAGCTTTTAAATGTTGCTTTTCCATAGCAACATCGCTTCTTTGACATGACCCCTGAGGTCATTTACGAGCATAGGCCTGTTAATACCTTTTGATGAAAGGTTAGATTACATTAACATCTAAGTTAGTTAACGATCAAGTACAGCAATTGTGCGATGTACACAGCCTGGACTTCACTTAATAAGTTGATTTTTTACCTACTGCTAAAACTGTTTGTTTTATAAAGTCATCCAATACATATAAAACAGCTTAAATGTCGTCTTCCTATTCCAAATTTTTATGGGTCCAATTGTACACATACAAAACATGTACAGTGAACAGTGTACAGTGTACACATGTAAAATACCTCTGTGTCAGGTGAATAGAATTATTTAATTTGTGTCTCTGGAAGTAACGAACAAATTCCTAAAAAAAATATACTTTCTTGGGACAAATTTTCAAACAGGGTGGTTCATTAAAACCATGAATTGTGTTGGACAAAAACTCATTAACAAATATAACAAAAGAATAGAGTCTTTGCCACAAACTCCGATTTTTTAATCTTTATACTTTATACTTTTATTAAGATCATTTTTACCTTCCAGAGCAGAAGGGTTGAAGGAGTTAAATTAATGAATTTGATGCTTTGTTAAACTTAAAAAAATCTTTGCATGGATTATACATATTCCTCAAATGAAGCATATTTATGGGTTTTATAATAAATTTTACCCCTGGCATGGCATACCACGGTTAAAGCAAAATAAAATAAAATACATTTCAAGACTTTTAGAAAGCGAAAATTGAAAAAAACTTTGTAAGTCCATTTGTGGAAGTGTGGACAGAGTAAAGAAATAATTTCCAAAGGAACTGAATACTCGCCACAATTTCATATTTTCTAATCCCCCAACCTGATGTTGTAAACCTTTGATATTTCGATCTATAATTCAGTTTGATTAAATATTCTATGTTTGAAATATCAAAGGTTTACACCTTCATTAATCAATTTTTTTCTACTAATTGATTTTACAGAATTGTTTTCTTCTTTTTAATTCATAAAAATCTGAAGATTGATATTTTAAAAAATCTTTAATAATCGACTTTCCTTAACCTTCGTGTTGCAAAGACATAGAGTTTCAAAGATTACAGTTGAGATTGTTTACCTGAAGAGATCTGAACTTGATGTTAAATATTGTGTTGAGATTGTTTACATGAAGAGTTCTGAACTTGATGTTAAATATCGTGTTGAGATTGTTTACCTGAAGAGATCTGAACTTGATATTAAATATTGTGTTGAGATTGTTTACCTGAAGAGATCTGAACTTGATATTAAATATCGNCCTTCAACCTCAGGATCCTTCAACCTCAGGATCCTTCAACCTCAGGATCCTTCAACCTCAGGATCCTTCAACCTCAGGATCCTTCAACCTCAGGATCCTTCAACCTCAGGATCCTTCAACCTCAGGATCCTTCAACCTCAGGATCCTTCAACCTCAGGATCCTTCAACCTCAGGATCCTTCAACCTCAGGATCCTTCAACCTCAGGATCCTTCAACCCCAGGATCCTTCAACCTCTGGATCCTTCAACCTTAGGATCATTCGACCTCATAATCTTTTAACCTCAGGATCCCTCAACCTCATAATCTTTAAACCTCAGGATCCCTCAACCTCATAATCCTTTAACCTCACAATCCTTTAACCTCGGGATCCTTTAACCTCATAATCCTTAAACCTCAGTATCTTTCAACCTCAAGATCCCTCAACCTCAGAATCTTTTAACCTCAGGATCCTTCAATCTCAAGGTCCTTCAACCTCAGGATCCTTCAATCTCAAGATCCTTAAACCTCAGGTTATGAAAGGATAAAATAATAAAAGGGTTCAAAATGAAAGGATAAAAGTGTGAAAATGAATTCAATGAGATTAATGAAATGTATCTGATAAATATGATTACCTTACTGAAACTGAAAAATCATCCCGTTGTCCATGCTGCTTATGCCTAGCAAATATTTGTTGATTAGTGTTAGAACTATTGCTTTAATATTATTGTTTATCTGCGCTTTCACCATATTGTTGGGTCACAGAGACTATCTTAACTAGCTACCAAATATACCGGAACTAATTTAATAAACTTAACTACAAACTATACCTAAACTACCTAAACTACCTAAACTACCTAAACTACCTAAACTACCTAAACTACCTAAACTACCTAAACTACCTAAACTACCTAAACTACCTAAACTACCTAAACTACCTAAACTATCTAAACTACCTTAACTACCTAAACTACCTAAACTACCTAAACTACCTAAACTATCGGAACTACTTAAAGTACCTAAACTACTTAAACTCCCTTAATTATCTAAACTACCTAAACTACCGGTAAAGTTTTGAAAACACCTTACTTGAAAAGCCTAAATTGTCTAAATTTTTCCTGAATTACCTAAACTATAACCTGAACAGTATAAACTACCTAAACCTTTACTAAAACTAATACAATTCCTAAATTCCTTAATTTCCCTAATATTGTTTGACTTGTTCCTAAATACCTGATAAAAAAGTCTCCTTGTTGTTTTCTCATCAGATATCTCTCTGCATCAATCCTACAAAAGTTTAAAACATATTTATTTAAATTATTTTCTTATTGCAGACAATTTTAGTCTTGTTGCAAATTAAGAACGGATTTTTGTTTACTATATTAAACCTTGATAGCTCAGGATAGAACCTGGATAACTCAGGATATCAGAATTAAACTCAGGATAAAACCTTGAAAGCTCACGATTAAAGTTTAATGGTTTAGGATTAAACATGGATAACTCCGGATTGACCTGGATAGCTCCGAATCAAACCCAACTGACTTAAGAGTGAACCTGGATAGCTCCGAAGCAAACCCGGATTGTTAATGATTAAACTTGACAAGCTTAGGGTTATTTCTGGTTAGCTTAGGATTAACCTGGATAGCTCCAAATTGAGGGTGGATAGCTAAGGATTAATCCTGGTTAGCTCAGAATTAAACTTGACTAGCTCCGAATTAGACCTGGATAGCTTCGGATTAAGCCTGGATAGCTCCAGATTAAACCTGGATTGCTCAGGATTAAACTTAACTAATTACAGATTATTCCAGACTAACTCCTCCGGATTAGACAAACCCGGATAGCTCAGGATTAAACCTAACTAGCTCCGGATTAGACCAGATTAGACCAGACTAGCTCCGGAATAAACCTGGATAGCTCAGGATTAAACCTAAATAGCTTCGGATTAGACCAGACTAGCTCCAGGTTAGACCTGGATAGTCCCGGATTAGACCTGGATAGTCCCGGATAAGACCTGAATAGTCCCGGGTTAAACCTGGATAGCTCTGGATTGAACCAGGCTGGAAACTCAGTATTCTCCAGGAAGGAGAACGGAACCAATCCTGCCTTCATCTACTCAGTAGGTGGAATTCTATTTTATACAGTGGGTTACATCTATATGATAAAACAAGAAATTCATATATATATATATATATATATATGTTGCCTATGGCCTGCCAAACGGCTGGACAGAATGGGCTTAAATTGTTTGTGGACACTCAGTGGTGGCCGGGGTGTGTGTTTGGGCTAACAAAAATCGAATTTATTTTTTTCAAAATAAAAATTTCACTGGCAACGCCGAGCCCTTCATAAATATTAAAAAGTGATTATCAAAATTTATTTAATCGTTATTTTTGTTACATAAAGGGACTGTAGCTGTAATTTCAATTCACCCTCCATACAACGAGTGGGATATCCAATTCAGAACGGTAGCCTTTTAAGGAAGATATCATCATTTTTTTCTAAAACATGATATGATATGGTTTAAAGGATACCGTTGTCACAAGGACATGCCACATTATGAATGGAAAGTCACTTAAAATTACGTGTACAGTCCCTTTAAACTCCAATCCTGTAGATTCCAATCCTGACTATTCTCGACTAAATAGTAGGAATTATCATCTTTATGAATGATCCCAAGAACTAGTATTTTATCCCCCTGTAAAACAGTATATTATAGACAAAATATTTATCCATTTAAAAATTGTAAAACAAATATCGTATATTTTTAGAAATAAAAGTTGGCTTGAATATTTTTTCTTAAAATTGTAAAGTTTTTTATACTAAAGGGACTGTTAACGTTATTTCAAGTGATCCTCCATGCAACGATGACAATGTCTGATTCACAACAAACCCTTGAATATTAAACCTAAATCTGATTAAAGATGTTAAAGATGACGTCGTTTTTCTGACTCGAAAAGTCTTAAGTTCCGATAATTTCTCCATTGTTTTTATAAGTAAGCCAGTTCTGAAGTAAAACCACGTATGAAAATAAACAGTTAAAAAACATGAAAAACATTGATATCTCATTCATTTTAAAGATACCGTTGTAAATCAGGCATTGCCAACTTTGTATGAAGGGTCAATTAAAATTATGCTTGTATAGCTTGTATAGCTGCCTGATTTAAGTTTAAGAATTGAATTTTTGGTTAAAGGATTTATCTGTATATATCTGCCTGATTTAAGTTTAAGAATTGAGTTTTTGGTTAAAAGATTTATCTGTATATATATCTGCCTGATTTAAGTTTAAGAATTGATCGTCTCTTCTATCAAAGTTTATTCCAACAATTAGCTCAACCATGTCAGCTGTAAACTCGTTCTAGCTCAGCTCTTATACGCTCAGATATAATCCTCTTTGCTGAATCTTAGTTAAACCCCTCTCAGCTCAACCCTTCCAAGGTCCACCCTACTCAGCTCAATCCGTCCCAGGTCCACCCTACTCAGCTCAATCCGTCCAAGGTCCACCCTACTCAGCTCAATCCGTCCCAGGTCCACCCTACTCAGCTCAATCCGTCCCAGGTCCACCCTACCCAGCTCAATCCGTCCGAGGTCCACCCTACTCAGCTCAATCCGTCCAAGGTCCACCCTACTCAGCTCAAACCGTTTAGCTTACGCCGTCTCAGCTCAATCCTTATCAGTTCGTATCTTCTCAGTTCAGTCTTTCTAAGCTCAACCCTTCCCAGCTCAATCCATCTGAGGTAAACCCTTCTTATTTCAGCCCTTCTCAGCTTAACTCTTTCTAGTTAAGCTTGTTTAAAGGGAGTGACCGGCTATGTGAGGTACAGGGTGTCCCAAAAAACATGGGAATTCAGTGACGAATTCGATATCGTCTTTGTTATGAATTAGCATTATTCATGTTTTCTAAAGAACAAGGCTTTTAGGGCGCTTCGCGCATCCTTTCCTGCTAATAATTTTAGCTTTATAATCTATTTTATAACTTTAATAATTTATTTTTGGATAAGGGGTGTGGGCACAAGCTCACGCATACAAATAAAAACGAAATATCTATAAATCTATTTCCAGTTTGTTATCAAAGTCTTTCTATTATTTTGTTCTGCTCAAGATTAGTTAAAAGTCATACACCCCAACGTTTTGTGNTTGAATAGATATAGATAAATATATGGGAAGATAAATAGATATATACATATATATATATATATAATAAATATATATTTGGTTTCTGTTAGTTTGTTGTTTATATCCAAAAACATGTTAAAACGACTGAACATATCCTGAACATGTGCGATATTTTACATTGTATGGTTGTTGGGACTATAAATGTAATTTCAAGATACCTTCCATTTTTAGAGTGACATGTGCGACATTTTAATGACGGTGTTGTTATGTATTTTATCAGCGGAAATGTTTGTAATTCTTAATAATTATGCCACCTGTTTTATATTAAAAAAATATATAAAATCATTTTCTGGGAATCCCGGAAAATAAACATTTTCATTCAGACATGCCACTGTTAAAATGGAGGCTCATTTGAAAATACGTCTTAAGTACATTTAAAGTTGTGTTTTAAGGCTGTGATTATTACAAGAAAAATGGGCTCCTTCGCTCAATGGAAGCCTAAAATTATTGATATAAATGGAATGGAGTTTTTGCATACAAACTCATTTTTCTAATCCCTATATCTTTGCAACCTGATAAAGTTCAATCTCACATAATTCATAGTCTAAATTCTACGACTTTGGTTTGCAAAGATCACACAATTCCTTTAAAAGATATTCTAAAATATTGAGGATTTTGTCCTGCAGTTGGGAGAACTTTTGTAAAACGAAAAAAATTCAAGAATGGAGTGAGTATGAGAGTGCAGGGATTTATGAGTATAAAATTCCATTTCTGGGCTTGCTTGACATACTCATTAATTCCCATAGACACCAACCCATATATGGAGCAGAGTAATATTCAACAATCAGTCCTTAAACTAGAAATATATACAAGTTCTCTTTTACAACAAATACTCATCATTTAGCCAAACCAAATATGAGCAATTCTGGTAATTTTTCAATTCCAAACATATAATCAATTTTGTAATTTATCCAAACAAACAATAATAAATCATCGTGATAAATTTGAATAAAATGTAATAAATTAATGCTTTAACCATCTAAAATATTATATTTAATTTGATCAAACTATTAATATTGGAAATATATCCAAATCTAATCTAATTTATTCAAAGGAATCATCCGGATCAAAGCAATCCGGTTATTTTTCCTAATAAAATATAAAGTGATAGAAATGAAACCAATTAAGAAAAGTTTTTATAGCACAATGCAATTAACTGTTGCGTTTAATTTGTTTCAACAAATCTCATGATATAAAAGAAGTATCGCTTGAATATCCGTCGTGTCTTCAGTTTTGATAAAATGTATGCAGGGATAACTATATATTTTATAGTACTACATTTCTAGAGGCATACAGTTTGATATTTTAAAATGTCGTCTTAATTTATCATAGTATTTTATTTTCTTTGCAATGCAGAAGAAAAAGGTTCCATAGATTTCTCAAAAAAAACTTTGTAAAAATTAAATAAAAATTCAACAATTTAAAGTTAATACCGCTGTTGGGGAATTTAATAGATATAGACATTTCATAAACATTTCATAAGAAAAAAACATTTAATATAGATAAGACAAGAATAAGAAATTTCATAGATATAATATAGGACATTTAATAAATACAGCTAAACTCATGAACACGAATACTATTAGTATTGCTGTTATGCTGTTATTTTTATGCAGGGTGTCTTACTGGTCCCACATCATTATTGGATCGTTTATCTTTAAATTGCGATTTTCGAACCTAATAAGAAAATTCAGAAAGAGTGAATCATTTTAAAAATTGTATAAAATTTAGAAAATACAAGGTTCTATATTGGGGGTAAAGCATGGAAATAATCCAATATGAAATAGGTGGGGGGGGGGGGGGCTTTGTAAATTGTCATTGAATTAAACAAAGAACAAATCCTTTGTGTAAATTTTATAAAATTAAACAACAAAAATGAAAAAAACACATCTTATTAAGAATAATTCTTTTTCAGATAAAGATAAGAAATATTTGAACAGAGTAAACTCGTGATAATTCTTATGCTGAGTAAAAATTGATAAACCCCGGATTGATTGTCGTCTTCACTTTTCTTTTTATTAAAAATATAGCTCCGAAGTTTTTAAATTGTATATACCTATTATTTCTTTAAAAAAGTGTACTGGCTAACCCTGGGTACTTTAGGAGAGGTAGTGTATCTAACCTTCAAATTAATTGATTCTTTGCCACAAACTCAATCTTATATCTTCGCAACAGCTGATGGTGTAAACCTTTGACATTTCAAACTCAGATTATTTGATCTAACAATCAGCAAACCTTTGAGGTTCCGAAAACTAAGGCAACGTCCTCTAATTACGTATCTGCCTTGCAGGGGCGTAAAAAAGAATTCTGTAGGGGGTTATTTTAAACATCTCTTTACATTTACATCTTTCAAGTTGAAAAATGTCGTCTTATGCGCAATCTATCTTTATCTATGGAAAACCCCTGTCTGAAACCATTGATTATTGAATAAAAGTAATCTTTAAATCGGCAATGAATTTAGTGCATGTAACAGGGAAAAGATTAAAACATTCTTTGATAAATTCTGATTTCAAATGTACTCTCACAAGCCATTTATAATGCTGTACTTATTATTAATAGAATAATTCAGTTTAAGTGTCATTTTTTAAAAATATATGTAGAATGTTTGATGAACCGGATGATCTATATCTGAGATTACTTTTGTGATAATTCTGTGGATTTGCTGGCAGTTGGGATATTAAGAAAATAGCGCTTTGACCGGCTCGCAAGCGCACATTTTTCATCAGAACGTATCATGGAATAATTCATTTTTTTCCTTAGGCCATATGTACTGTTATTTTCAACAATTTTTTACAGATTACTTTAATTGCTTTTTGTAGGAGGCCAAAAAAGTAAAAAGCATGTTTTCTCGCGCCCACCTTTTAGTAGTATAAAAGTAGTAATTTTACATTTATAAACTTTAATTTTCATTTCTTTATAATTTCAATATTTCAGTCATTCTTTATTTACACATTAATTGGGAATTTTTTGGGCTATATAATTCTTGGGAAACTTTTATTTTTAAGCGTTTTCAACTATTTTTGACCTTTATATTTTTGGTAATTTTTTATTTTTTTAAATTTTACATTTCTTTGTAATTTATAAACTCAATGACAGTTTTCAACTTAATGTTTTCAAGAAAGTATTTTACATGGGGGAATTAGATTAGGGGGGAATATTACCCCTCCCCACTCTCCCGTTCTCCCTGAAATATTATAGTTTGGTTGAAAATGGAAAAGTTTTATCTCTGTTCGGTCTGATGAGTCGGAACTGGGACTTCCCTATTTCCACAAATATTTTTGTATCTTATAATGTATTAGAACTTAGGGATGCCTTGCGCGACTCTTGCTTTTTTTTTGGGTTGGATATATAAATTTGGCTCGCTGTTTGTTTGTATCCAATAAACGTCAAAACTCAAAACAGCTGAACCGATCGGGCCCAAATTTTTGCGGGATCTAGCATGACCCCAGGGAAGGTTTATGAATAGTAAAAATTTTAAAAATTTGTGCTCAAAAGTTATTTTCTTTGTTTTTCAATGTTACAATGAGAACATTTTCACAATTGAAATAGAAGATGGGCGCGAAGCGCTCTAAAAGCCTACTATTATATATTTTGTTTTTTTTGTTTGTTTTTAACCCAAAAACGTCAAAACGGCTGGACCGTTCGGGCCCAAATTAAAAAATTTGGATTTTTCAAAACCTAAAAAATCGATAAAAGGGCAACAATTGTTATAAATTGAAGATGGGGCGCGAAGCGCCATGTAAGCCTAGTTTTAAAATATTCTTCAGTAAAAATTAAATTTGTCAAATGTTTAAAATGTGCTGCTGTTTGATGATAGAGCGTGGATAGAACTGAAAAGATATATGTCAACTTTAAATTTTATTCCATTTCAGAATTCAACTTCCTTTTCAAATAATAAAATAAATGTTGGCTGTCAGTGTAGGAGCTGAAAAAAATCGACAACATTGTTTGAATTATAAAACTTTAAAGGTTATAAATTATACAGGTAGTGTTGTAAATAATTTTGGTTAATTTTTTGCATTTATTTTCTGACAGGGCTAAATCAGGGAATAGGAATAAAGGGAAAGGAAATGGCGCTGATCTGGCATGAGAAAGCCAGTTCCACTGCTTTGCAGACAAGCTCGGTAAACTTTACACACACTCTTTTGGTACAGACACACAACATGATTACAGTCAAGGAAATTGCAGAACAATGTTTTCAATTATAATTAAGCTTGAATAACGACTAGTTTATGTAACTTTAATCAAATTATATTCTTTGCATGAAAATTTGGCTTATAGTGTTGACTTAAATATATAAATATTATACTACATGTATAATAAACTTATTTATAAGTAAACAATTAACAATAAACAAATGTACTCTCCTATACTGTACAAATACCGAGATTCTTATGTACCATGTATATACCTACAGTACACACCTTCGGTTCGGTAAACTTTACACACACTCTTTTGGTACAGACACACACACATGACATTTCCGCCTCCTGGGAAAAATATGGAATAGTGTAACAAATACAATTTTTTTGAAGAAAAACACTGAAAACATTTTCTATACTTACAATATGCCATATTTTGACCCTGAGAGAAAATTAATGCAAAAATAAACCAAAACGTCTCACAGAGTTTATTCATATTATTATCAAATATTTGTTTCATGTTCTACACTGTACATTGTTCAGTGTAATGTACAATTGTACAGTGTACTGCACATACAGAATTAATCATAAGGGAAGTTTGATTTTTCAAATTTTTCAAAACATGTTCATATGTTGGTAGCAAAAGATACGCCTTGAATCGCTGAATACCGCGTGTCCATTTGTCCGTTGTTCGATATTTCAAAAAATGTTTTATTTAACTATTTTTTTTAGCACTGACAAATATTTAACCAAATAACGGTTTTGACTTAATTTCAGGGATTTTACCGGAATTAACGTTTCTGAACTTAGCGGTTCAAGACGGATATTTTGATACCAATCTTGATTTATTTTGACGAAATCTGTTTCTGGCTTATATTGGTGATTTCCTTAACACAAAAAAAAAAACAAAAAAAATTTCATATTTTTAAAAAGTGTATCAAAGAAAACTTTAGAGCTGGTGCAAGGTGAATTTGAGCAATTTTATCAATACTATTTATGAGAAATTATTGTATTGTATTGGAACTTTAAATCAGAAACCATGTAGATAAAAATAAAATATAAACCTTCGCATAATAAAAAGATTAAAATTAACAAGGTTAAGGTATTTTTATTCTAAGATTATACAGACGGTTGAAAACCATAGTTTCGTTTATATATCAAAGGTTCGTTAAGAGATATGTTAATAAAGACAGTGTACAGTATGTTTATGTACATTGTACAATCAGTGAGTAACATAGACAATCATTTAACAAATTTTACAATTAATAATTACATCATGTACGCTATGTATATGATAAGTACATTATGGATATTGAATTACACCAAATTCTGTACATGAGAAGATAAGTATGTAATGAATATCTGTACATGATTTAGGCATAACACATAATTGATACATTAAAGTTTAAAATACATTTATGTGATACAAAACGCTTTAATAAGCAACGGATATGGATAGGGGGCTCTGTTAGGTATAATTATAAAATTATGTCAAGAATATTTATGCGCTGGAGCTTTTATTTATTGAGAATGAACCAATCCGGCCCACTTTGCGGGCATATAGGGTTAATAAGTAGACAAAACAATTTCTGTCGGTTCAATAAATTTAAATTATTACGGTTTATGTTTAATGATAAAACCTGTACATTTATAGAATACAATATTTACACAAAACATTTAATATTTCAATTTTAATTCATAATCTTTAATCAACTGTTTTTCATCACATACATACATAATTTTTCTTTGCCAATTGCTCTTCATTGCAATGCATCCAAGTTATAAATCTTGATTTATTTCTGTCAAATTTGGGTTAAACCTAAAAATTGCAATTTTAAATTTATACATTTATTTACATTATTTACATTATGAATATAAGAAAAAAGCGGTGGGCCTTTTACTATTTATCAAAAAAAAACCTCAAAAATCTTTAATTTCTAATAATTCTTTTTTATCCTGAACTTTGAATTGTTTGTAAATTTCTCAAAAAGTTGGTTTGTGTACAGTCTGCACAGTGTGTACAGTCTGCCCATATACAGTACAGTGTACAGTGTACAGTCTGCACATATAAACCAGTTAAAGCAATTCAACTTCTGTTAGTTGATAAATGAAAACGCATGATAAAAGTATTAAAAATAATCTTCATTGGCGTTTTCCTCAGCACTTCCCAAGAAGCAACCCAAAATTAATCAAATTTTTTTTCTCCCCCCAATGATTAAAATCTCAATAATTTCGGCATTCAAAACTTTTTTGATATGTTTGTAAACAACATTCTTCCCGCTGTACCTTATACAGACAGGTCTATACATCTGTGGAATAGGAAGACGACACGAAAGTAATCTTATGTGACATGCAAATTTGTGTTACAGAAAATAGTTTTAACATTAGCTTGAAAACCAACTTATTAAGTGAGATGCGGCTGCAGTGTAATTTTGTGTACACTGCACAATATCACGTGCATTATCTTATTTAAAATCATGACAATATTCTTGCTTTCTACAGTTTTCTCGGTTCCACAGAATAATGTCCATATGTGCATTATTCTCATGTAAGGAACGATCACTAAGCAGAAACCACATTTTGACCCATAAAAAAAAAACAGTTTTATGGAGTAACGGAGCCCTCTTTTCAATATTTAGACAAAATTTCTTGTGATACCATTAAAATTAAACCAGAAGTCAAAGCGAATCATTTCTACACACAAACTGTATATTTAACATGATATATTTAATTCTCTTTAAAGATAAATAGATTTTCCATCTTCATGATATTTGGAATTCAGGATTTCATTTTCATTCCTCATTTCTAAATCAAGCTTAACTCATTCGGACACATTCAAATATTATTAAGCTTAACTAATTCGGAAACATTTGAATATTTCACGCTTAACTAATTCGGAAATATTTAAATATTTCAAGCTTTACTCATTCGGAAACATTTGAATATTTCACGCTTAACTCATTCGGAAATGTTCAAATATTTCAAGCTTTACTCATTCGGAAACATTTGAATATTTCACGCTAAACTCATTCGGAAATATTCAAATATTTCAAGCTTTACTCATTCGGAAACATTTAAATATTTCAAACGTAACTCATTCGGAAACGTTTAAATATTTCAAGCGTAACTCATTCGGAAACATTTAAGTATTTAAAGCGTAACTCATTCGGAAACGTTTGAACAGTTCATGTTTAACTCATTTGGGTAATTCAACATTTCTAGACTGGAGCAGTAAATCAAAATTTGCTAAAAACTTTTAGAATTTTAATTTACATTTAATATTTAACATGAAATTTCTAAACTCTTCCTTTTAAATAAACCACATAGCAACAAATGATTATATGAATCAAATTTGATATTAATAAATCTATTGGAATCAAAACATCAAATGGATTTCATAATGTTTTACATTTCCTAAAATTATCTTGGATTGATTAGTTGATTGATTAATTAGTTGATAGTGCTTATATATGACTTGTTTGCAAACAGGCAGTTTCCTCTGAAGCCCAGATATCTGAAATATAAAGAAATTGAGTCTTTGTCTCAAACTCAAATTTTAGAATCCCTATATCTTGACAACCTGATGGTGTAAACCTTGTTTGATTTAACAGAATCTATAGTTTGAAATATCTCAGGTCTACGCAGTACGTCGGCAAAATGCCTACTAAATATATGATCTAAATATATGTCAAAATCGAAGTTTAAAACAAACCCTAGAGCCCAAAACTTAAGACATGGTATCGTTATGAAAACCAGTTTTAGAACGCGAGTTTCACGAATGGGGTTAGACAGTTTTGTGGATATCAATATTTGTGTTATGAAAAATTATTTTATTTAGTTTCTTAATATTCTCCATTTTTTCGAATCTCTTAAATCAAAATCTACACAAATGTTAATACCCCAAAAAGGAAACTTGGGGGTTTCGTTCAACGATACTCCTTTAAATTTCGGGCTCTGCAGACCCTGCAGTATGTGTATTCTATGTACCCCACTTCCTCTTGAACTCGAGGTTTCGTGAGATCAGTTAGCTGAGTGTACCCCACTTCCTCTAGAAATCGAGGTTTCGTGAGATCAGTTAGCTGTGTGTCTATCGTTGTCTATGTAATTAACTAACAAATTCTGAATTCATCTAGAAATATGATCTGAGCTGGGAACTTTTGAATGGTGGATATCGGGATTAAGGCTTAATCCACTCTTTTTCTTGATCTCGAGATTAACATAATCTTGCAAGATTATCTTAAAAGTGTATGAAAAACGATAAAATTCAAATTAATATTTAATCATCTGAGAAACTGTAGCAGCCAATCAGAGAAAAGCGGGCAACCAATGAGAGAACAGAAATATTCTCATTGGAGAAAACAATTAACGAATATCCAAGGAGAGAGAAAAAGAGTGGATTAAGGACTAAAATGAAAAGTTTCCACAGTGGATATTCGGATCAAGAAGTCAAGATTAAAGTTTATCCATTCTAAAGTTTTCAGCTCAGTATGCAAAGCAAAAATAACCTTAATCAATGCAAATTTAAATCTAAAACTATTTTACATAAAGTCGAAGTTACAAGTATTTCTTTTTAATTTATTTTACAAAAGGTTACCCGCAGGGGCGTACACATGAATTTATCAATGGGGGGCTTTATCGTTTCAACTTCCCCTTTAACTGTGGTTTTCTGGGCTAGTTTTCATCTATCCTGAAGGGGGGGAGGAGCCTAACAACCTCTATACCCCACCCTGTATACGCCCCTGGTACTCCGACCATATTGCTCGGAAAACTTTAAATATTTCAGTTAAAGGAAGAAAATAAATTGATAATTAAACTTTTTCTTTCCCAGCTGATACAAGATTGTTCCCTGGAGGGTTACAATTGAATAGTTTAGGAGAATATTCGACAGTTTAGGAAAATATTAGACAGTTTAGGAGAATATTCGACAGTTTAGGAGAAAATTAGACAGTTTAGGAGAATGTTCGGCTGTTTAGGAGAATATTCGACAGTTTAGGAAAATATTCGACAGTTTAGGAGAATAATCGACAGTTTGGAGAATACTCCACAGTTCAGGAGAATATTCGACAGTTTAGGAGAATATTCGACATTTTAGGAGAATATTCGACAGTTTAGGAGAATGTTCGACAGTTAAGGATAATATTCGACAGTTATAAAAATATTCGACAGTTTAGAAGAAATTCGACAGTTTGGGAGAATTTTCGACAGTTTAGGAGAATATTAGACAGTGTAGGAGAATATTCGACATTGAAGAAGTTTACAGTCCAGGATAATATTTCCTCCGGTACAGTTTAGGAGAATATTCTATATATGAGAAGAACTATCTATATATTCTAAATACCTGGAGGCATCTGACCTGAACCGTGCTGTGTTGAAATAGTACTGTTTGGTCTCCAGGTAGGTATAACCAGTGTAGAGAGATAAACCAGTACAGATACCCAGCAGCTAACCGTCTTCAGTATAACTGTAGACCAAGACTTTGAGAACGATATTATTTTGGTCTCCTGAGGTTGAAACCACTGCGTCAGCTGCATGGTGACAAACATATTTGCCAAGCAGAGTGTGATATGGAAGAGAGAATAGCTATACACGGTCTGGATCCTTTCATTCCTGATAACATGCTGACCTCCATCCTTCTCAGCTGCAGGAGGACCTGGAGGAAAGTTGTCCCGTCTTGAACCTGCTCTGCAGCAGATACATAAACCTGGATCCTCGTCCGTCTCTCCGATCTTTAATCCTAGAACCTAAACAAGAGGATATAAGAGTTTTTAGATGAAAAGAAAGAATATATCGTTCGAAATGTTCAAGAAAAATTTTTTTAAATGTTTCTTTTCAATGGTTTTCTTTTTTTTCTGGTGTTCAAAGATATCTTTGTGTGGTAAGATTGTCTTAGCTGTGTGTGTTCATAATATTTAGAAATTTGGAATTGAGTCTTTGCCGCAAATCTCTTTTTCTAATCCTATATCTATAAAATAATCTAAGTTTGAAATATAAAAGGTTTACACCATCAGGTTCCACAGATATAGGGATTATAAGATTTGAGTTTGTGGCAATAACTCAGTTCCTTTAGGTGCTTTGTGTATTTTTAAATAGATACGTTTTAAAGCGTATTGTTTTTAATTGTTTATGTTATTCTTTAATTCAAGGACCATTTAATAATACGCTTTAAGATCGGATGAGCTACGCCAAAAATACAGTTTATTTCTAACATGACGCTGCAAGTTTTACAGATTACAACTTTCCTACGTGAAAAGGTTGTTAGCAGATAGAAATTAAAGCTTTAAACTTTCAGGGAACACCTGATTTCTGCAACTAGTGCTACTAATGTACAAACATTTCTTTACTAACTATTAAAATAATTAATCAATGCATTACAGAAAAGGAATTAGAAAAAGTGCAAACTCCGCCTAAGCCTCTTAATTTTATATTTCCACACTTTACAGCTGCTACCCTCAACTTATCAAGTTTTAATTTGTGATAATTTTATAGTATTAGCGGGCTAGTTGACTGGACTAATACTTTCCTAAGCAAGACTACAGGACTAGCACTAACCTTAGCTGGACTACTAGCCTTGTCCTAACCTTATCTGGACTACTGGACTAGTACTAACCTTAGCTGGACTACTGTACTAGTCCTAACCTTAGCTGGACTTCTGGACTAGTCCTAACCTTAGCTGGTTTACTGGATTATTGCTAATTTTAGCTGGGCTACTGGACTAGTCCAAACCTAAGCTGGGCTACTGGACTAGTACTAACCATAGCTGGACTACTGGACTAGTCCTTACCCTAGCTGGACTACTGGACTATTACTAACCTTAGCTGGACTACTGGACGAGGGAGGTGGTGCAGAGCATCCATGAGCCCCGCAAACTGACATCCGGAGACTCCTGAATCGCAGAATGGCCTCCAAGCTAACCCCTAGCAAATCAAAATCGTCTCCGAGTCTCACGCGCGCTACGTCTGCCAGGGTAACCAGATCTGTCTCTACTTCCAGCAATCCGATATCCCAAAACAAATATTTGGCTTTTACATCTACCAATAGCCTTTTTTTCGAAAATTCTCCACACGATCATAAAGTTTTTAATGGTACATAAACAAGTTGTATTAAAAAGTCTACTTGAAGTGATATAAAGTTTGTTTTTCTTTTTATAAAGCTGCAATAGTTCTGCACAAGTTTAGGAATTTGTGAAATTTAGAAAAACAAAATAAGAAGTCTAAATCTCAATAAAAGTTGACTTTTTAGTACAAATTGTTCATGTACAATAAAAACTTTATTATCATGTTGAGTTTTTTTTTCTCGAAAAAATGGCTTTTGGTGGATGTAAAAGCCAAATATTTGTTTTTGGAAATCGATTTGCTGGACGTGAGAATGAGTTAGGGAGCCTGACAGACGTATGCGTGAGACTCGGAGACGGTTTTGATTGGCTAGAAGTTGGTTTGGAGACCATTCTGCGAATCATGAGGCTCCGGCGGTCAGTTTGCGGGGCTCATGGATGCTCTGCACCCCCTCCCTCACTGAACTAGTACTAACCTTAGCCGGACTACTTGTCCACGAAGTTATAGAACTATAAGTAAGTACGAGGAACATGATTATGATAGCAGTGTATGGAATCCAGGTTTCATCTATACTCCCTCCTGTAGGAGCCTCACACTCCTCCTGTAGCTCCAGGTCAAGGTTATGATATGGTTCTAGTCCAGCATGATACGGTCCGAGGTTTGCAGCTAAAATTTGATGATTCTCCCGATTCCGATTGAAAAATTGGTCTGTAGGATCTCTAAAATGATTGTTTGGTTATTGTTAATAATAACCAACGTACTATAATATACAGTTTAACCCACAACTTCGGAGTCTTCGAAAGAATTTATAAAATGTCGTCTTGACAATTTTTCAATGGGTTTTATACTATTATAATTAAATCTCAGTAATTGTAAAAATAAATAAATTGCCATGAAATATGCGGGAACAGTTCGATAGAGATCCATATAATTAAGGTTATAATGCAAGGAAAGTTATTTGCAGTCGCGTACCCAAGGAGGTTAAAAGCATTACATTTTGATAATTTTGATAATTCACATAATAGCTTCCTATGACTAGAATATTTCATTGATTTTTTGTGAAAGATGGATCCCATGTCAAGCTTCGACATCCGTCTTCTGTTTACATTACCGCCCAGAGATGGTACACCGCAGTACAAGAGATGCGTACACCTCTGAAATAACTTTCCTTGCATTATAACCTCGCATATAATTATTCAATCAAAAAAAAAATATCTGGAGCATTCCATTTTATAAATTCTTTCGATGTCTCCGAATTATTTTCAAGCACTAACATTTTAAATTATTTTTGTACTGTACTGTACTGTACTGTACTATACTGTACTGTACTGTACTGTACTATACTGTACTGTACTGTACTGTACTGTACTGTACTGTACTGTACTGTACTGTACTGTACTGTACTGTACTGTACTGTATTGCACTCTACTGTACTGTATTGAACTATACTGTACTGCATTGCACTTTAATTTATTGCACTGTACTGTATTGCACTGTTCTGTACTGTATCTCACTGTATTGTACTGTATTGCACTGTACTGTATTGCACTGCACTGTATTGCACTTTACTGACCTTGTAGAGTCTGTGGAAATGTTAACGCACTGTACTGTACTGAATTGCAATGTACTGTACTGTACTGTACTGTACTGTACTGTACTGTACTGCACTGTACTTTACTGTACTGTACTGTACTGTACTGTACTGTACTGTACTGTACTGTACTGTAATGTACTGTACTGTACTGTACTGTACTGTACAGTATTGTACTGTACTGTACTGTACGGTACTGTACTATACCGTACTGTACTGAACTGTACTGTACTGTACTGTGCTGTGCTGTACTGTACCGTACTGTGCTGTACTGTACTGTACCGTACTGTACTATACTGTACTGTATTGCACTCTACTGTACTGTATTGAACTATACTGTACTGCATTGCACTTTAATTTATTGCACTGTACTGTATTGCACTGTTCTGTACTGTATCTCACTGTATTGTACTGTATTGCACTGTACTGTATTGCACTGCACTGTATTGCACTTTACTGACCTTGTAGAGTCTGTGGAAATGTTAACGCACTGTACTGTACTGAATTGCAATGTACTGTAATTGCCTCGTTTAGTCTGGTGTAGATGTTAGTGTACTAAACTGTACTGTCTTGTATTGTATTGTACTGCACTGAATTTCACAGTATTGCACTGTACAGCATTGCACTGTACTGTACTGTATTGCAATGTACTGTAGTTACCTTGTAGAGTCTGGAGTAGATGTTACTGTACACCAAGTGAGGAAGGTTAAGTATGAACATACTAAAAAATAAGATGAATTTTAATTAATTTTTGTTTGTTGTGTGAGCATTATACAGTAAAGGATGTAAAACAAACTTGTTTCATTAAATTATTCATGTTAATTACACTAACATAGATCGTTTAGTGATACACAGTCTTAATTTTGGTTTTTGCCAATTAACAATCCTAGTCTCTTCTTGTGGGATGCGTCTTATGGTTGTTGTGTATTTTTATAAATCATTTGATGCTACCTATCGAAGACTGAAGAAGAGCAGGAACGAACCCTCCAGTAGATTTGTTTGTGCAGGGGAGCAGGGTTAGAACCAGAACCAAAAGAGAGAGAGAACCATTACAGGAGATTATTATTGTGTTCGTAGACATGCAAGAGGGTCCAGTATACCTAGAATCAATATGGAGTCTTTATCACAAACTATGATTTTCCATTCTCTATACCTATGCAACCCAATGTCGTAGACCTTAGATATTTCAAACTAAAACATCTTTTAGATTTAAGTTTGAAATAGCAAAGAATGTACAACTCAGGTTGCATAGGGATTTTGTGACAAAGACTTTAATATACAGGTGTATGCATTGGAGTTATCAATTGACAGATGTGACGTCACGAGTATCCTTATAGTCCCTACAAGCTTTATAATTTGATTCGATACAAGGGAATTTGCTTAAAATTAAGAACAACTGCTAACTGTTGGATCTTCTTGTGATCAGTACAGAATCTACATTTTATAAAGGGTTAACCACAAAGAATGCGACTTAAGAGACGACTGGTGTGGATTTTGTTGTTGTCATATTCTCTCATATTCTAGATTCCCTCAAACTGCAAACTTGTTCTTTTGCGTTAAATTAAAACGTTTTAGGTCGTCATTAAATTCTTATCCTTTGTTCATATAAACCTGTAGCAAGCACAGTTCCTTGTATATCAGGGAGTAAACCTGTAGCAAGCACAGTTCCTTGTATATCGGGGAGTAAACCTGTAGCAAGCACAGTTNACTAATTAGTACAACCGTATGCAGTCAAAACAAACAAATTGTAAACATAGCAGACAAAAATCTTACGGTTTAAGCTTTCTCAGTAGGTATCAATTTACTAAAATCAAAGAATTAATATCCCTTAAATAGTTTTTAAATCATGTCGACATTATAGATTGTAAATACCTTTATTTGATCCGGTAAAAAAACTTGATATTTCTGTAAAGCTGAGTTTTCTTATGTTTAATACAATACATTTGTACTTGTAAACAAACAATATATTCTATTTGTTCCTTCTCTAACTATTCCCCATTCAACAACCAATATTTCTTCAAGGGATACTTGTAATATAACAATAAGGAAATGAAAGTAATGTTAAAATTCAGCTGTTACTTTAAATCTATATCAAAGCTAGCAGACAAATCACAACCCTGCTTTTAGTCTTTTTCAGCTTTTAACGCTAATAACAAAAAAGCAATTTTTTGATTGCCAATACTTCTTTTATTCTCATGTTCTGTGTACCTATATCCTGCTTTGTGTACCTGACTCATTTTATATATACCTGTCTTATACTCTGTGTACAATGTACATGTCTCATGTTCTGTGTACATGTCTCATGTTCTGTGTACATGTCTCATGTTCTGTGTACCTGTCTCGTGTTCTGTGTACCTGTCTCATGTTCTGTGTACATGTCTCATGTTCTGTGTACCTGTCTCGTGTTCTGTGTACCTGTCTCATGTTCTGTGTACATGTTTCATGTTATGTGTACCTGTCTCATGTTCTGTGTACATGTCTCATGTTCTGTGTACATATCTCATGTTCTGTGTAAATGCCTCATGTTCTGTGTACCTGTCTCGTGTTCTTTTTACCTGTCTCATGTTCTGTGTACATGTCTCATGTTCTGTGTACCTNCTGCTGTGTACCTGTCTCATGTTCTGTTTATCTGTCTCATGTTCTGTGTATCTGTCTCATGTTCTGTGTATCTGTCTTATGTTCTGTGTACCTGTCTCATGTTCTGTGTACCTGTCTCATGTTCTGTGTATCTGCCTCATGTTCTGTGAATCTGTCTCATGTTCTGTGTACCTGTTTCATGTTCTGTGTACCTGTCTCATGTTCTGTGTATCTGCCTCATGTTCTGTGTACCTGTCTCATGTTCTGTGTACCTGTCTCATATTCTGTGTACCTCTCTCATGTTCTGTGTACCTGTCTCATATTCTGCGTACACGTCATATGTTCTGTGTATCTGTCTCATATTCTGTGTACCTGTCTCATATTCTGTATACCTGTCTCATGTTCTGTGTACCTGTCTCATATTTTGTGTACCTGTCTCATGTTCTGTGTACCTGTCTGATATTCTGTGTACCTGTCTCATGTTCTGTGTATCTGTCTCATGTTCTGTATACCTGTCTCATGTTCTTTATACCTGTCTCATGTTCTGTGTATCTGTCCCATTACTCCAAAACGATTAAAAAAACCTGGCCAAGTTTATCCCTGATTACCTGAACCAGAAGAAATATACAAGCACCTCCCAGAGCACAATACAGCCAACCTTAATATTATTTATCAATATTTCTTTAAGAAGATCTAGATATTTATTTATGTATCGAGGTTATTATAGTTTACAAGATTGTTAATATGGGTTTAACACAAAACTTTTCAATACACCGTCTCAGTCTTGAGCCAGACGCTTTACTAAGAGTGAAGTCAAGTTTAAGTTTCTAAATTTAAATTGAGCTTTTTCAATCTCATAAACTCCGGTCTACGTTTTTCATATTTAAAGGCATTAAGTTTTGCCACAAACTCAAATTATCTAATCCCTATATCTTTGCAAACAAATGTCGTATGGCCTTAGATATTTCAAACTATGAATTATGTTGATCAAATAAACCAAGTTTGAAATAATAGAGGTTCAGGTTGTAAAGATAAAGGAATTAGAAATTTTGAGTTTGTGGCCAAAACTCCATTCCTTTTAAATAAAAACAATTATTAAAGAGAAGAAATCTCGATAAAGAGTATTTTCCATCATGAATGAAGAATTAATAAGGGAGGAGTCCTCATTGTAACAGAAAAATAAATAATTCTTAAATCAATAGATTTGTGTAGAAAATTTAGAACTAAGATAAAGAGCAATCAAGGTTTAGAACAAAGCACAAGATTATGATCAAGGTTCACGACAGAAACAAGGACTTCAGGTTCAGGATAAAATACAGGGATTACTGTTAGAATAGAATACCGGAGTTATGGTTTAGAATACTGGAGTTATGGTTTAAAATACAGGAGTTATGGTTTAGAATAAGGAGTTATGGTTTAAAATACAGGAGTTATGGTTTAAAATACAGGAGTTATGGTTTAAAATACAGGAGTTATGGTTTAGAATACCGGAGTTATGGCTTAGAATAAGGAGTTATGGTTTAAAATACAGGAGTTATGGGTTAGAATACAGGAGTTATGGTTTAGAATACAGGAGTTATGGGTTAGAATACAGGAGTTATGGTTTAGAATACAGGATTTATGGTTTAAAATACAGGATTTATGGTTTGGAATACAGGAGTTATGGGTTAGAATACAGGCGTTATGGTTTAAAATACAGGATTTATGGTTTAGAATACAGGAGTTATGGTTTAGAATACAGGAGTTATGGGTTAGAATACAAGAGTTATGGTTTAGAATACAGGAGTTATGGTTTAGAATACAGGATTTATGGTTTAGAATACAGGAGTTATGGTTTAGAATACAGGAGTTATGGGTTAGAATACAAGAATTATGGTTTAGAATACAGGAGTTATGGTTTAGAATAAGGAGTTATGGTTTAGAATGCAGGATTTATGGTTTAGAATACAGGAATTATGGTTTATAATGCAGGAGTTATGGTTTAGAATACAGGAGTTATGGTTTAAAATGCAGGAGTTATTATAGAATACATCAAACTTATTAACATTCTGGATAGATTAGAAGGACCAAGTTTAAGGTTAGATTGAAAGGATGAAAACCCTTCTCTGGTTTACCTGTATGGAAACTATCTAGATGAGGAACTGGAACCACGAAGGTTGTAACGCAGAGTAGGATGAGGAGAAGAACCTTCCAAACCCAGAATCCGTTGTGAGTAGCAGCCCTCAACCCGACACTAGAGGTGTTAAAACTCATGAATACATAATCTCCAAAAATCTTTATTAAGTTTCGGAATTTAAAAGCAGGGGGGGAGGGTTATGAAGAAATTCCAAAGAAAGAAGGGCTTTATACAGAATTCATTTAAAAGTTTACACACGCTGCTCTGAGAAGGTTTATTAAAGCTTAGATAAATGTAAAACTAGGTTTGCAGAGTATAAAACATCCCTAGAGGTTACTCCAATGTTTAGGAAGGCAAGGAAGCAGAAGAAAACTGAGATTCCAAATGAAACCTAAATTAAAGTAGTTTAATCTCTTCACTCAAGCCACCTGTTGCTGTTTATAAGGTTCAATATATGTTAAAATTTAAATCTCCTGAGCTGAAAACTGTGGATATTGAGATCAATGCTTAAAGATTAATTTAATCTTTAATTTGTATCCTGAAAAGTGTACAAGGTGTCCAACGAAACATGACAGATGGTGAATAGTTTAAAATGTCTTCTTCCATAATTTGTTAAGTTGTTTGATACTGGAGAGAATAATAAAAAAAATACTATATGGGAGTCATACGATAATAAAATTGATTTTAAAGTAAAATATATTAATTAAGTAAAAGACTTTTTAACGAAATAACCTGCAAAAATCTTTAATATCGACAGTATAAAGAAGAAGACATTCAAAACTATTCACCAACTGTCATGTTTCGTGGGACACCCTGTATAAAATTTGACCAATCAGAGTGGCGTATCAGAAGCAATTTAAATTGTTTACGCCGGTTAAAACTATTATCTCTTGAACTTTTAACTGTTATCTACTGATCTATAAAATTGATATCTACTGAGGCCGAATTTAAAGAATTTGAGCCGCGGCTTGAATTTAAGCAGCAGCTCAAATATGGTTGGTTCCACTTAAAATTGTATTATATTCTTCAAGATTTAAGCGGCGCTTAATTGAAACCGATTTTTGGGGAATTTGAGACGCAGATTAAATTCATTAAATTCGGACACTGATCTATTAAACTGTTATCTCCTGATCTATTAAACTGTTATCTCCTGATCTATTAAACTGTTATCTCCTGATCTATTAAACTGTTATCTCCTGATCTAGTAAACTGTTATCTCCTGACCTTTTAAACTGTTATCTCATGATCTATTAAACTTGTATCTCATGATGATATATTAAACTATTATCTCCTGATCTATTAAACTGTTATCTACTGATCAATTAATCTGTTATCTCCTGATCTATTAAACTGTTATCTCCTGATCTATTAAACTGTTATCTCTTGACCTATTAAACTATAATCTCCTGCTCTATTAAACTGTTATCTCCTGATCTAGTAAACTGTTATCTCCTGATCTAGTAAACTGTTATCTCCTGACCTCTTAAACTACTCCTGCTCTATTAAACTGTTATCTCCTGATCTAGTAAACTGTTATCTCCTGATCTAGTAAACTGTTATCTCCTGATCTAGTAAACTGTTATCTCCTGATCTAGTAACTGTTATCTCCTGATCTATTAAACTGTTATCTCCTGATCTAGTAACTGTTATCTCCTGATCTATTAAACTGTTATCTCCTGCTCTGTTAAACTGTTATCTCCTGATCTATTAAACTGTTATCTCCTGATCTATTAAACTGTTATCTCCTGACCTATTAAACTATTATCTCCTGCTCTATTAAACTGTTATCTCCTGATCTAGTAAACTATTATATCCTGATCTATTGAAATGTTATCTCCTGATCTATTAAACTATTATCTCCTGCTCTATTAAACTGTTATCTCCTGATCTAGTAACTATTATCTCCTGATCTATTATACTGTTATCTCCTGATCTATTTAACTATTATTTCATGCTCTATTAAACTATTATCTCCTAATCTATTAAACTGTTAGTTATCTCTTCTTTAGTTTGTAAAGAAATAAACTATTGTGAGAAATAAATAAAAAGCTCTTGTTTATTCTAGAACAAGCTTCAGCAAAATATGTGTAATTTTAGGAAATTAGATTTTTGTTGTTTACAGCTGTAGACAGAAGATATATTACAGTCATCTCTAACCTTTTCTCCAGATTTAAATACAAACAAACTAAAATAATAAATTTTTACTGGTTCACAGTTTCTTGTTTCTTTTAAAATTTACATTGAACAATGCACTAGTAAGTGGTCTTTTGTCTTAACATATGTAAATACATTAGTTAAGAACTTTCGATCTGTACCATTGTGAATCGGACATTGCCACCTTTGCCTGGAGGCCGGAGGGTCTCTTGAAATTACGCTGAAAGTCCCTTTAATCCGTAAGAAACAGCTGATTCGAATAATATTATAACTTCTCATTAACCTTCAAAGATATATTAAATAGGAATTAACTTAATCCGTCGGTCTACATTAGATTCGGATTAGTACTTTCTGAATAGATTAACGGTACCAAAGTTCCGACTGAGGGTTGATTTAGTCCTATAAGTAGTGCTGGGCATCGATGTGAGGTTCATTTTCAGACATTTAGGCTTTTTTGACTTTTTTGAAGTGTTTTACAAAATGTTAGTTACTAATAAAAAAATTGTTTCCTCGAAAAGTTTGCTTTAATTACATTATGATCAAAGATATAAACCAAAACGATTTTTAAAACGAAAAACAATTTTCTAATCGTTTTGAAAAATCATTTTGGTTAATATCGTCAAAATAAAAAAAATTGCAAAAGTAAAAAACTTGTCTTCTTTGTAATTTATAAGATTTTTGTGGAGCATCTTAGAAGTGTAAACACTTTGAATATTTGAAAGCTGGTCTCAAAGTATAAGTCTATGTTTAGAATAAACTATAATGTATATTGTATTATTACAATGTTTCCTGTGTTTTCATCTGTAATGGTTCTACTTGTTAGAATGTTCCAGAAATCAGAAAGAACAACTATAAATCTATTGATACGTTTTTATTTAACCATAATATATAACTCGGAATACGAAAACAGAAGTTTTGTTTTCAAGATTGTAAATATTAAAATATATCCAGAAACGATTCACAACGTTTACAACAATTGAATTTTTACAAAAATGACGAGCAAAAAAATGGCCGACTTTTATTTTCTTTCAAATTGAAAAACAAGTTTTGCTTTCGTTAATTAAATAAAGATTATAAAGGGCACTTTTACAAAAAATGAATAAAAATCGTTTAAGGATACCTTTAAACTATTATTTTGGATTGAATATGAATGTATGTTTAGCAGAGTATGGAGAATATGTCTGGCTCCTGTTCAAGTGATCAACCTAATCTTCTCAGATCTAATGTGTCCTCACTCTCCCAACAAGATAAATTGATACCCGGAGCTATCTTGACTTTTATTCTAAAGCTTGTCACTCAGATGTTGCAAGAAAATATAAACTGAAGACATTAATTCTTCCTTCTTGTCTCTTAATTATATTCATAGATTCAGTAAATGATATTTCTTCATAAACATTCTGTCTTCATTAAAAAATATTTTTGTACTTATTTAATTTTCCTTCATATGCCTTATAAACTGAAATATCTGATAGTTCGTTTATTTGCCCTGTAAACTGTAATATCTAATAGTTCCTTTATTTGTCCTGTAAACTGTAATATCTGATAGTTCGTTTATTTGCCCTGTAAACTGTAATATCTGACAGTTCCTTTATTTGCCCTGTAAACTGTAATATCTGATAGTTCCTTTATTTGCCCTGTAAACTGTAATATCTGATAGTTCCTTTATTTGCGTTGTAAACTGTAATATTTGATACTTCCTTTATTAGCCCTGTAAACTGTAATATTTGATAGTTCCTTTATTTGCCCTATAAACTGAAATATTAATAGTTCCTTTATTTGCCCTGTAAACTGTAATATCTGACAGTTCCTTTATTTGCCCTGTAAACTGTAATATCTGATAGTTCGTTTACTTGCCCTGTAAACTGTAATATCTGATAATTCCTTTATTTGCCCTGTAAACTGTAATATCTGATAGTTCCTTTATTTGCCCTGTAAACTGTAATATCTGATAGTTCCTTTATTTGCCCTGTAAACTGTAATATCTGATAGTTCCTTTATTTGCCCTGTAAACTGTAATATCTGATAGTTCCTTTATTTGCCCTGTAAACTGTAATATCTGATAGTTCCTTTATTTGCCNAAGTCGTCTTTACCAAAACCTTCCTCGGAGAAAAACCAAACCAAGGCAAATCTCCGTTCAAATTCATCTATACTCTCCGTCAAAGAAACAACAAGCAGTTAAACGTTTTCTAAGTGAAAGATAAAATCCATAAATAACTTTGCAATCAATAGTTAACTCCACTTAAAAACCCGGGTTTATATTTCAGAAGTATTTAAAAATGTTTTAAACTATTCCATCAAACCCTCAAACCCATCACTCCTTTCACTTCGTCACAAAAAGCTAGTAAGCTAAGATATATTTTAAATATTCAACCATATTTATACATTGTCCTTTTCAAATTTATCTACACCTGTATTTTATTACAGGTTTGAAACATATCTATTTGAGAATATTGAGACTACAGTGTCTGATTCAAGGAGCCTAAACGACTCTACACTCTACAGTCCATCAACCTATTTATATACTGACTTACAGTCAATCAAGAATCGACGCCATTCTAAAGTTTTACAAATATATATTATATTGAACGGAAATCATTTTAAAGGAACTGTCAGCGTAATTACAAGTTACCATGCAAAGATAGCAATGACCGATTCCCGTCAGTACCCTTGAGTCCCTTGAAGCCCTTTTGTTTTTTAAGAATATGTGCTGTTAATTTTAAATACGGTTTAAAATGTAGAAAAAGAAATGATTTTAATATCATTCCGTAAATTTTTTTTTTAACTGTTTAAGATTTTATGTGTTTAACATAGACATGTTTATCTAGTTCAACACAAACATGGTTTATAAAGAATAAAGAAACATAAACTCAAATTTATCACCGTGAATCTAGTTTTCAAGATGGTAAACGTTGAAAACTGTACATTAGTAAAGTTTGAATAGTTTCCACTTCCCAGAGATTATTTCCCCGAGGTTGCTGGGGAAAATATTTCGCCGAGGTTGGCGGGGGATATTATTTCCCCGAGGTTGCTGGGGGAAATATTTCACGGAGGTTGCTGGGGAAAGTATTTCCCCGAGGTTGCTGGGGGAAATATTTCCCCGAGGTTGGGGAAATATTTCCTGGAGGTTGTTTGGGAAAGTATTTCTCCGAGGTTGCTGGGGAAAGTATTTCCCCGAGGTTGCTGGGGAAAGTATTTCCCCGATGTTGGTGGGGGAAATATTTCCCCGAGGTTGCAGGGGAAAGTATTTCCCCGAGGTTGGCGGGGGAAATATTTCCCCGAGGTTGCTGGGGAAAGTATTTCCCCGAGGTTGATGGGGGAAATATTTCCTCCTAGGTTGGTGGGGAAATATTTAATGTTCCGAAGAGAATTCTTACAACTCGGACTCTAAGTTGACAAAGTTTTAAAATCTATTTGGATTTAGTTTAAACCTAGAGCTGGACCCAAACCTAAACCTCAGCCAGACTTTTTAAATTTGATGATTCGTTCAAATATTTCATTGAGAAGAATTTATCTTGACCATATTAAGAAGACTAAAGTTTCATCAAGACCGACAGATATGTCTTAATCCCGATTTTACCTTATACAGAGCCATGTATCCTGTTAGCTTCATACAGTTGTCTCCAATATCTAGATCTATACAGGTAGCGTTGAAATCTAAAAATTAGTCAGTATTATATTGATAATGTTAATTCTCAGCTGCTTTTAAATTAAGATTGATTAATTATTAGTTAAGCTTTTTTTCTCATAAATGTATAATTGTTTGTAAATGACCCTTAATGCAAAGATGACAATGTCCAATTCACAACAGTACCATTGATATCTTGATCAGATTTAAAAAGTGGAAGATATCGTCGTTTTTCTGAGTCGAAAAGTGTAGTTATCTCTGACGATTTCTCAAGTGTTTCTTATAAGCAGGTAATGCGCAAGTCACCTTTGAATATAAACCACAAATGAAAATAGACGGGTAAAAAAACAAAACAACAAAAACGTGGATATCCAATTCAATTACTTGGTGAGACAAAACTTTTATTGTAACTGTTTTAAATTGGACAGTACAATATTTGCAAAGAGATTCACTTAAAATTACGCACACAGTCACTTTATACAGAACTAAAAAGTTTAGTCCACTCCGACCAGGCGGAGGTTCTCCGGTCAGCATATCTGCACAACAAGGCGGAGGTTTTTCCGTCAGCGTATCTGCCCAACTAGGCGGAGGTTTTTCGGTCAGCATATCTGCCCAACTAGGCGGAAGTTTTTCGGTCAACATATTTGCCTAACTAGGCGGAACATTTTTATTCCTTTTTTCTAAGTTTCCAACTTAAAGATTATTATCATTATTATCATTAATATCGTCAATTTTAAACACTTTTCCTCTCTTGACCAACCCTAACCCTTCAAGTTTACCCTGTTTGCAACTTTTTTGCAAATTTTAAAAGGAAGTAGTCAAGCATACGTTTTTGCAAAAGTATGCATTGAATTATGTTGAAGTCAATTGAAAATACAGAACTTTAACAAATATTTCTTTTTCAATCAGACAATATATTTTCAAAATTTATAATGAAGAACAATTAAAACAAAAATTTTATATTTTTGGAACAAAGGTGCTGAGAAAACCCCTTCTTAGTGCTATGCATAAAATTGAATTTATTTAAATATATTTATTTTCCTTTAAATATAGACAATTTGAATATATTCCTATATTGTATGGATCGGTCTTCAATAGATGGAAAAGTTGATGTCTCAAATTTAGAATTATTTGGTATTTTTCATACAAATGACATGCGTAGTAACATCTCAATGTCAGCTTTATTTTAGCAGAAGATTATTCTATTCTATAACTGACTAACCTTTGAAAGCCGCTTGTAAGTCATGCTGCATCCGTTGAGTCAGCATTAACGCCATCCCAGTAGATCCTACCCCTAGCAGGAGTAGATACATCAACCTAGAGATTATCCTAGATATAGTTCCAGTAGATCCTACCCCTAGCAGAAGTAGATACATCAACCTAGAGATTATCCTAGATATATTTCCAGTAGATCCTACCCCTAGCAGGAGTAGATACATCAACCTAGAGATGATCCTAGATATAGTTCAAGTAGCATATATCTACATATAACCCCTTCTCTACATATGTTTATAAAAGAAATGATGGAAGGATAAACTAATCTTCTGATCCAAGGGGTAATTGTTTCTATTTTATATTCTAGTGGAATGTAAATATATTCTATGTATATTTCTATATTTCTATCCTACCAATCTATCAATCTACCAGACACCTCATCCTGCACTAAACACACACATCCTTCATGCCTCACAGACAAAACAAAATTCCATATTTTTATTCTTCTCTTGAATTCTTAGAAACGTCATTTTAAAGCAACAATTTTCTTCATTTTTATGCTTCGCACGGACTCAACGTGCAAAGGTAGAGGAGGAATTCAAACTCACTTAATAACTGTCATTTCTCGCCATGTTTAAAAAAAATTTAAAACTCAAATTCTTTATGACTTATAGGTTTTTGTTTTTTTCAGAAGAAAAGTTGAATTTTCTTAACGAATTTATATTTATTTTTTATTATTTTTAATTGTAAATATCTAATGGCGCAGAATTTTTATTCTTTAGTTGATTTTACAAAATTAAAATGCCAGGATTCTTCTGGTCTGCGAAGTCACGTGATAAGTAAAAAACCATTAAATTTTGAGTTTAAAATCTAGGAATTTAATGCAATTTGAACCAGACTCGACTACTGCTTCACGCTCAAATTGCTATGGAAATGATTAAATTCTGTGAATTCCACGCCTTAGCGCCTGAAGAAGTTATCATGTTTAAAGAGTTTCAGGTCATCTCTATCGTCTCATTTTTTATGGGTAACAACCCTGCAAGAACCATAATACAGTTCTATATATTGTATATTTAAATATATATATGTCTATATTGGTATATATATATGAAGAAAGGAACTGCTATATTCCCAATATATCTGGTTTGTCTCTATACTCGACCAAATAATCGGGTTGGATTATCCTGGATACACATTCTCCGCAGATTCAGGGTTCAATATGTTCAGTTCATCTAACATAAACAAGTAGATTGCAGATTTACGTGGAATACAGACCAGAATGTCAAGATTATGTCCGGACTGCAGATAAAGGCACTTCTACCAGAACGGACTATTGTGATAGTAAAACGTAACTATATAAAATAGTTAAAAATGACTTGATTTCATAATATAAGAAACTGATCTCTAGCCAAGAGCTGTATTTTTTATTCCTATGTCTTTGCAACCTGATGGTGAAATCTTTTGATATTTAATTTAATTTGATACGATATAAGATTACAAAGATATCAGGGTTAGAAAGTAATCATTTCTTTTGGACCCAATGTACGTTATTTAATTCTTGCTTTAACTCTCAAGAGAATGGGTATATGGATGAATATTAGGATGGATAAGAGAATGTTAAAGAAGATGGATAAGAGAATGGATAAATGAATGAATATTAGGATGGATAAAAGAATGTTAAAAAGGATGGATAAGAGAATGGATAAATGGATGAATAGTAGGATGGATAAGAGAATATTAATTAGGATGGATAAGAGAATGGATAAATGGATGAATAGTAGGATGGATAAGAGAATGTTAATTAGGATGGATAAAAGAATGGATAAGACTAATAGGACGAATATTAAGAATCGATAAAATGTTGATAAAAGATAAATCGACATATCTTCATAATAATGAAAAAGGTAAATTTTTTCCTGATTAATATTATAATAAAAGATTGGAAGTTATATTATAAAGAATATCGGTTGATGAAGGAAAGGTTTGGAATAATTATTCAACATAAATATCTTAATCCTTTCGAACCCATGTATTTTGTCTATAGTACCCACAGCCTCCTAATCAAACAAATATCTACTTAGCACATTGCTCTTCATTATAAAGGGCGGTGTATGGTAGAGGGGGGGGATTGATCTAGTTGATCTAGTTGATCTAGTTGATCCAGTTGATCGTAAAAAGACATCTCTTTTAACCACAACCCCCTTCATTTAATTTCACCAAATGAACAAAACCAATTTTAACAAATTTATCCATCCTACAATAGACTTCATCTTTGACTATGGTTGGTATTGTATCCTTGTGTCCTGGAAGATATAAGGTAATATAGGAAATATACCAATTTCCTCGTTTTCTCTAGAAATATATAGAACACAAATTAATCTCATACTTCAACTAAACACGGAGTTCAAGAATAGAATAGGAAACATTTTATATTCTTTCTCACCCTTTCTTATCTATAACTATCCTTTCCTTATTCTCTTCCTATCTTATCCATAACTATCCTTCCCTTATCCTCTCCCTATCTAATCCATAACTATTCTTTCCTTATCCTCTTCCTATCTTTTCCATAACTATCCTTTCCTTATTCTCTTCCTATCTTATCCATAACTATCCTTCCCTTATCCTCTCCCTATCTTATCCATAACTATTCTTTCCTTATCTTTTCCCTGTCTTATACATAACTATCCTTCCCTTGTACTCTCCCAACTTATACTAGCCTGAAGCATTTTCTTCCCTTGTCCTTATCTTTACTTGTCCTTCCTTTATACGCTCTCTAACTTATCCTAGCCTGTTCTTCCTTTATACTCTCTCTAACTTATCCCAGCCTGTTCTTCCTTTATACTCTGCCTACTAAATCCTTAGTTATTCTTTCTTTATTCTCTCCCAAACTTATCCTGGTCTGTCCTTCCTTCATTCTCTCCCTAGCTTATCCTTATCTATATCCTTCCTTTATCTTCTTTAGTTCTTATCCAAACATATCCATCTTTTTTCCGTTCTCCCCACATTATACTTACATTTTTTGTATCTAAATCTCGTTACACTAACCCCATTTCAATCTTTTTTCTCCGAATCACTTTTACATACCTCTGTAAACTTTTGTTTATAAAACTAAAATTTTGTAGAATTAACAAGAATAGTCCTATGAAACTATTATTTTGATAAAATTTTAGATATCTTTAAATTCTTTTTAAAATCTTCAGCTGTGTTTCAAGATCTATCAACAGCGAAGACATTTAAGAAACAGTAAAAGGAAAGTGGGCAGACGAGGAATATCTGAAAAGTAAGTCAGAAGAAAAATGGTTGATCTTTATTTTCCCTTTTTTATATTCAGTCAGGGCTCAGGATGTACATTATCTTAAATTGATTAAAAATGGTTCTACATGGTTATACATACTCTTTCTTGATTAGATACACACAGATACACAACACATTCTCTCACATCCTTCAAACCTTAGATGTTCAACATTGTAAACAACAAGGAGAACAGCTGCCAGAGACCATTACAGTAAGCTGATAAGACTATATTTTATTTCAAGAACGAATGTTCTTATTAACCTAAAGTTTTTCCTTGTGTAAACCAACTCTAACTTGGTTCTTGAGGACTTAGCTTGCTTAGCAATAGTTTAAATCAATATTTGGTGTACACCTGACAATGATCATGAAGTTTAACATTTCCGTGTAGTACTAACACCCCAGAGACATTTTAATATTAATTTTAATATGATCGGGTAAAGTTTAAGCCATTGAGAGTAAAAAATGTGAGACTTCTATACCTCCTCTCATTAGTTCTATACCTCCTCTCCTTAGTTCTATACCTCCTCTCCTTAGTTCTATCCCTCCTCTCCTATGTAAGGTTTCTTTATTAAACACACAATAACATATTCTCACGGACACTTGGTAAACAAAGAGTAGTGCACCGGCTGGTAAAAATATTAATATAAAGACTGAGTATCTAAATATATTATATATATCTACTTATGTTTTTATAATATATAGTATATCTGTATATAGGTTTAGATCGATACGCAAATCCTTATATATAAATATTAGGTTTCCCATTAAACTAAAGTAATGGAATTAAACACTTGCCTCAAACTCTCATTTTCTAATACATTTAATAGAATTCATTGTTGAAAATTTCAAAGGTTTCAGGTATCAGGTTGCAAAGATATAAGGATTAGAAATTTAGATTTTGTGTGAAGTGTTCAATTTCTTTAATTGAACACTTAAGGATTAAATCTTTTTTTCTTTTGAGCAACTGATGATAAAAATTGTATTAATGTGCAACTTTAAATTAAAACTTGTGTAGTTACGAGGGGGCAAAGTCGTGCCAATAATTCCACTTACCAGAAATTTATTTCCAAAACATAAGGCTTCATGGGCCAGACCCAATCTTTAGTTTTAACTGGCAAAACCCTTATTTTGTTAGGTATATATATGAAGAAATATGAAATTGTTCCAAAAATATTACAAAATTTATGTTTTTAAAATAAACTGGATTTATGTTATTTTCTAATTCCTATATCTTTGCAACCCAATGTCGTAGACCTCAGATATTTAAAACTATGAATTTAAAATATAAGGTTTGAGTTTCTGGCAAAGAATCAATTCCGATAAGAAACGGATTGGGGTTTTGTCGTTGAAAAAATTATTTTGCTGTTTGTTAAAATGTATTTGGATCTGTTTTGATTGGAAGAAATAAAAAGATTGGATTAAAAAACATGTTTTTAGAAAATCTTTGGTTTTAGCATTCTATTTCCCTGTGAACCAAAGTGTCATGTTATCACAAAAAAGTTTGCAAGATATTGCTTGGATTGGTGAGGTAAAACCAAAGACCAAGGCGTTGCCACACTTTAAAGTCAACCCGGTCTTAAAACTTGATGCATAACTTTCATAAGAGAAAAAATTGGTCAAAAATAAGCGGAAGAATTTTCATTGAAAAAATAAGAGGAAAAGAAAAATAAAGATAACAAAAAAAGAAATAAAAAATAAAAATAAATAGAAAGCTTAATCAACGTATTCATCAAATAGATTTGGAGTTTAGTATATTGATGATAGAGAGAATACAATTCGTGGTAATTTCCTGAATATGAACTCCTGGA